AAAAGCTCAAAGAGGAAACTGTGTGTCAGAGTTTTACTGTGAAAAAACTTTGTGCATTCATGAACTGTGCTCCTGATCGTCAAAATGCATCGACTGGTTGCTTTATACAAACTTATGTTGTGTGTTATATCTCGAGAACTGCGCACTGCTGAGTAAAAATTGTTGAGATTGATGATGTTTCCCGAAGAACGTGCGATACAGGGTGTAACCATATCTAATGTTGTGTTTTGCCAGAAGACTTCTTGGTGGACTGAAGAAGAAGGGATGAAAGGGGAGTGGATCTCTTTCGTGCTTTTATCCATTAAGTCTGTCGCTTCTTAAAGTATGTGAGAGGTGAAAATGTTAGGAGAAACTTCTTGAGAGATTCTTATTAATTTTGCTGTGTTTACATGGAGATTTTATGGGAAATTTAATTAATGGTGTTTCCATGGGAAAATTTCACCCCAATTATCAATTTGCGAAAGATGCCTTATCTTCTCACTTTGCAGCATCTCCTTGAGATGGGACGCTAAACTCAGTGACAGGAGCCAAAACACCTCTTTCGATGTGAAAAGTTCGTTGAAAATTTTAATGAGTATTGAATTTTGCTGGAGAGTCATTTTGAGAACCATTGAAATTACACCATCTATTCAGAACTTTTCTGTATCTTTTCACTTACAGCCATGTTCTTCCAATTTACTTTACAAGCCACACACTGTTTCATAGCAATTATAATGACTAAAATGGATAGGAAGTTGAGGGCAACTTTTGTGGTAAATTTTATAGAGTGTATGTATTTTCAAGAGGCAACACCACTTTTGTGAATGCGAAAATGCTTGAGGAAATTACATTAAGGGCTGAAAATGTGTTTTATGTTTGGCATATGAGACGAATGGAAGGAGAAACTTGATGCAACTTCCACTCCAACATCCCAAAAAGTTCCTCCAACCCTGTTTTTAGAGAAATTGTTAAGCTTTCCCTCCCAGTCACTAAAGCGCTTTTTGCCTATGATCTCTCCCTCGTGTGTTACATTAGTGGAGGGAAATTTAATTGGGACTTGAGGCAATTGCAATTGAATGTGCGGGTTCTGCGGCATCACCCTGTTCCCCGATCTCTCTCCTTCGGTATTATTATTATAGACGAAAATCTCAGCCGAAAATATCACATTCCCTTTCTAGTTTATTTTAAGTCTTCAACACAAAAACCAATTTCTACGCACTCTCGTGTGTCTCTGCTGGCTGCTTCTTCGTCAGTTTATTGAACGCGCGCGCGGAGTTTCATTGGGTGTCAACACACAATTATTGAATTTCCTCATCTATCCGTTATAACCAACTTTCTTCTCCGTCAAATCTCTCTGTCAGCCATTCGCTGGATGCTAATAAATTATTGTGATTTAGACGTAATCAATTATATTAGAGACTGATTAGATGTGCGGCTAAATACTGTGACGGAGTGTTGTGATGTAAAGTTGTGTGTAAATGTGTGGCAAATTTTCCACCATGTTTTTCATGCTCGCAGCGGTTTTGCGACAAGCCTGCAAAATGTGGCGAGAGGCTAAAACTGTGATTTAGAGTGAAAGATTTAGGAGTCATCCAATGTAAATTGTGTGTAAAATATCGGAAGCATGACACAGAAAATTAAAAATAAATTGTTAATCAGCGATATGTACCAGTTTTCTCTTTGAAGCAAAGAGACTGGCAAACATGAAAAAAAGCGCGAGTATGAGGAAGACAAAAAATACGCGTAACTCTGTGTTCGTGATGATGGTAAAAATAAATCTGAGGAAGTTGAAATAGTTCTTTTTTTCCTCTGTGTGACCATTAAAATCACTCCTGCTGTACATTTAAAAAAAATGTGGGGTGGGAAAAAACTGTGTTAATTAGTAATTTATATAAAATACTCGTGCACATCGTGTAGTTATATAGCATAACATATATTCCTGGGTAAAAATATGGTGATTTTGTTAGTCGCGTCACGTGAATAAAAAACCATCCCTATAGATGTAATCGAATATTGAATTTCCATGCATCATTAATGACTGATTATGCGATTGGTGATGTAAATGATGGACGGCAAAAAGTGGGGAGAGAGAAAGAGAAATAGAGAGCTTTGAGTGTGCTTTTCGTGTTGATGAAAATTTTACAGTTTTCAAGTGGTGCTCCTACAACAAAATCATGGTGGATTAATTCTGTGCGGCGTTGGACAATATAGTGCAAGACAAGAGAGACACAGAATCGGGCAATTTGCATGCAAATCACCACGACTGGCGTGCTGATGTTGAAGAAAAAGACGTGAATGTGGAGAGAATAGATGAAATAACACCGAATCATCGGGCTTTTTTCGGGTATACATATTTCCATTGAGTTACACTGTGCAAATTTTCCCAGCATTTTCCCCAGCTTGAGTGTCATTGAGTGTGACAGTGAGATCATTGATCTCCTTAATATCAAGTGCTCTACAATCTCGTTACGTTGATTGGTGACTCTTCGATGGGAGAGAGAGAAGCAATTATGTGGGCAAATTCATGATGCTTTCAATTTTACTTGTGAAATACACACCACATCAATGAGAGGTTCACTCCGTAATGTCCCTCTATTAAACTTTGAAATCACTCCTCGTCATTACTCGAGGTCGTCTCCGATGAACAGTGAGAGGTGGTAGATTGTGTGCACTGTGCCTGAAAGGGAAAAATTGTGTGTTTTAAAGTAAAACAAAATACTTCTATGGTTTGCAATAAATTCAAGCTCCGAACAGTGGTAAATTACAATATATATTAAATGCGTGCTGTTTATGTCTATCTCAACGCTACTGTGATTCCATAGCGTCTGGGCATGAGGAAGAATTTATTAGGGAATGTAAAGAAGGTGGATTTATGCAAAAGGGACGAGTGATATAGATGTGAATAGTGAATAACTTGGTGCTCCTTAAGAATCCCTCTCCAAAGTAATTCAGAATTAAGATTAATCATATTCAGATTTTGGTGGGAAGGCACACGAGAGGGACTTCAATTTTCTGCTCGTGCTGTCTTCAATGCCTCTTCCGCAAAATAGTAAGACGCCGGGTATTTTGAAGAGAGAGAGAGCTTTGGTGAATAACGCGAGACCGGGAAGCATGTGGAAAATGATAGGAATATATGAATATCAATTTGATTTATTATTATATTTCCTTCTAATATTACCGAATGAGCGGGAAATATTCAGAGAATGCGTTAATGTTCGGAGGATTAAGGGATTTGGCGTGTGAATGCGGAATAAAAGACAGAGAGAGAGGAAATGGGGAAAAGAAGTGTCGACCGTGGGCGGGAAAACGCGCCTTAATCATTTCTCTTATGAGATTTTCTCTCTGCGCGCGAGAGTCGAACAAATGGTGAAAGAAATGAAAATGATGGTGCATTTATATACTCACACACTTGTCACAATTATAATCTATATATTAAGTGTATGTTAATTTATTTATTTTGCAAAATTTCCGTCGGCATCAGGAAATTTTCCCCACACAACACACAAGAGTGAGTGTGGAATTTAGAATATTTATACAGGAATGTCTTTTCCTCTTTTCGGCGCGCGGCGCGGAGGAGTGAGAAACCGTGAGGCCTCTTTTGACTCTATTAAATTATACCCTGAGGAGAGTGAAAACCGTCTGTGTGCTGAATAAGATTATACTACATGTTTTTTCTTCTGCCGTGACATATTATTTTTGCAAAAATAACATCTCAAATTGAGAGAGAGTGAGGGAATTTTTATTTTCTGTTGCTGGTCTTTTTTGCGCCAAACACACACGAATCAATCCATTTTGGCGACACTTTTTATTTAACTTTTCTCAAATCACATGCTAACAGGTTTTTTTCTGTCCTCATCATCTCTTTGTCGTGTGTATACATTTTTTTTTGAGAGACACCCCAAAATATGTGGGTGGGTGAAAGTTGGTAAAAGTTGTATTCTCTCTAGAGGGCAAAAGGATGAACTTGGCACGAGATATGAAGCGAAAAGGCGGGTTGCTGGAGGCAAAGAAGGGTGGAATGGAGACATTTTATTAATATATCCCACATACTTTGGTGTCTCGTGTCTTTTTTATAGGTGTATTTCCTCTTTGGTGTTTGTTATCACATAAGCGCGCGGGATTAGGTTGGTTTGAGAGAGCGAAGGCATTCCCGTAGAATCTTTTTTATGTGGGCTTGTGTCCTTTTTCTGTCGTGCAATCTCTCTGGGTTTTATGTCTTTTCGAGTTGCCACTGCAACAGATTGATGATAACGTAGAAGGCTCAGTTCTTCATTAAATCTCCAACACAACTCTGTATTTAGATGGTTTGCTTTTTCCTCGGTCGGAAATTCTGCCATAAGCCTAAGAATTTCCCTTTTGCGACTGTTCGCAGTGTTGTGGAAATAGATTTCATATATGCTCAAGTTTCATTCCTTCGAGGGCGAAGGAAGATGATAAAAATAATGGAATAATAGAGTGTGTGCGAAGAAGGCAAAAAAAATCCGTATATGAACTTTATTAGTCGAGAATGAATTTGTCTCCCTTTCACACTCTCCTCATTGTATCTAAATTAGAATTCTCATTTGTCTCGAAGGATGCTCTGGGTACGATATTGTGGCAAAATGATAATGGAGGATGAAGGAAATGGGAAAATTGTCTTTCTGACCATCTATTTGATCAGAAAGACAGTCTCAATCAGACTTGAATGAAAAAGTATCTAATATTACTGGCGCTTTTCTTGTTTTTCTTCTCCCCTTTATATCTTCTCGAGACATCCATCAAGCCGGGAAAATGTCTGCAGAATCGCGCAGACAATTGTTAGTGTTAATTGAAAGGAGAGCAGAGAGGGGAAAAAAGTGAAGAGGGCAGAGAAAACGGAAAGGCTCGCAATGTAGTTGAGGTTCTTGGCAATTATACCCGTACACGTGTGCCAATTTTATAATATCAGTGCTCAATTGTGTTTAACTTCGCATTTAACAGCAGCACTTTATTCCTGTTGCAGTAGTTCTAATGGTATGTCATCCACTCCTATTTAATTGCAGGACTGGTAGAAGAAAGTGAGGAAAATGGTTGTCGGAGAATCAACGGAGGCAGGAGCGGCAAATGCCCTGCCAACACCTCAAACGACAGCACCAACTGGCTTCCCCAACCAGGCTGCTGTGGACAATATAATGAGTGGTATCGGGAATACAGGAACTGTTAAGTTGAATAATCACAGGAAGAAACTTCGACAGAGGTATGTGGGCAATTTATCACAACTCCCTTCCTTCCTACAAGTAGTGTGTGTGTCGAAAATTTAATGGCATATCCTGCAATGTGTGTTCGCCACAGGTTCGACATAATTAAGAAACTGGGACAGGGTACTTATGGCAAAGTGCAGCTCGGCATCAACAAGGAGACTAGTCAGGAGGTGGCCATAAAGACGATTAAGAAATGCAAGATTGAAACTGAAGCGGATCTCATAAGGATCCGACGTGAGGTGCAGATCATGAGTTCTGTGCAACACCCCAATATTATTCACATTTACGAAGGTAAGTTTACATGAAAGACCTGAATTTTCCGTATAAATTTACCCTGGAAAAAGCACATCTTTTGAGCCCTTTAATGCTCAGCCAACATGAAAGGTGTCCATAAAATTCACAATTTCGCCACGGGAGAAAGTGTGTTTCCTAACGTGTGCGCGGGGGTGGCGAAAGAGCGTCGATTACGGGCGGTATTTCTTGAGGGTTCTCTGTGCCCTTTTTTGCTCTTGAGCTTTGGATGTCGTGCTAGAAAATTGTGTGAAGGAATAACACTAGGGAAATATTTTATACCTTGTGCACGGAAAGGTGCCAAAAGAATGTGTTTGGTGTGAGAAATTTCGTTTTCCCATTGAATTCCATGTAGTTTTTTTTCCGTTCCCTCTGGCAAGGAATTCGTTTCTTGTGTTACTTTCTTCTTCGATTGGTGTTGGCGAAGGAATTCCTTTGGGCATGGGGCGCGTGATTGCTGAAATGATGATGGCAAATGGAGTCATTTTACGTGGCAAAAAGAAAGTATTTCCTCGTCTGACAATGCCCCTTGTCTTGTTCTGCAGTATTTGAGAATCGTGAGAAGATGGTGCTAGTCATGGAATTTGCGGCGGGTGGTGAGCTGTATGATTATCTGTCGGAGAGGAAGGTGCTGTCCGAGGAGGAGGCTCGTCGGGTGTTCAGACAAATCGCAACAGCTGTTTACTACTGTCACAAGCACAAGATATGCCATCGTGATCTTAAATTAGAGAATATTCTCTTGGATGAGAATGGCAACGCAAAGGTATTTTTGATTTCTTGCTCTCTCGGACTGTGATTCTCTGGCGCACATCGCGCACCGTCCAGTGGATGGATATGTGCGGTGTGTGTGGAATGAATCAATGGCCGCGTGTCAAAATAAACGACCCATTAATCGAACGCCGACTGTGCGTGTCTATTTTTGCAGATTGCAGACTTTGGTCTGTCCAATGTGTTCGACGAGCAAAGACTGTTGGCGACATTCTGCGGCTCGCCCCTGTACGCCTCGCCGGAGATCGTCAAGGGGACGCCGTATCAGGGCCCGGAGGTGGATTGCTGGTCTCTTGGGGTGTTGCTGTACACGCTCGTGTACGGCGCCATGCCCTTCGACGGCTCCAATTTCAAGCGGCTGGTGAAACAGATCAGTCAGGGTGATTACTATGAGCCGAAGAAGCCCTCGCCAGCATCGCCGCTGATCCGCGAGATGCTGACAGTGTGTCCGCAGCGGAGAGCGACCATTGAGCAGATTTGCAATCATTGGTGGGTAAATGAGGGCTATCAGGAGTCGTGCTTGGATCTGGCCGAAGAGCTGGCCAACCAAACACCCGTGCGATTGGATGTTCTTCTTTCTCTGGCGCCGTCTTCCGTGACGGCGGATCAGCTTGTGGTGCCCGGCGTAGAGGATGGCAAGTCCACAGATCGCGTGACAAGAAGTCATTCAGTTGGATCAATCATCGACTTGGCCAGCACTGAAGCTGAGAGGAGGATTATCGATATGGTTCAAGCGGGTGGAGAAGCAGCTTTGATGCCCTCGCCAACGAGGACAATCACCCCAGCCGAGAGTCCTGTAAGTTTCACTTACGTCAGCAAGGTAAAGTTTTCTGATAACTGTCGGTGACATTTCAGGCGCAACCAAAGCGGAAACTGGAGACGACGGTATCCATGGAGAATGCAACAGGTGCAAAGAAGAAGGAGAAGCCCACAGATAACCTGAGGAATGAATCTCTGACTATAGTGGAGGCGATGGACGTTGATCCCGGAATGGCTGAGGGTCAACCTGAGGCAATTGCTGAGAAAGCGAAAGAGCCTGCAGCTGGTGAGGTGCTGGCGGATATCAAGGAGGAAGTTGCTAGCAAGGAGAGCAGTCCGGAGAAGAAGAAGGTGGTGAAGAAGAAGACATCGCCAGCGAAGGTGGATGAGGAGGAGGCGGTGAAGGAGAAGACGCCCGTGAAGGTGGTGAAGAAGACGGCAAGTAAGAACAAGACGGCGGATTTGGCAGCGACAATTAAGGAAGTAGCCGATGAGGAGGTGACGACACCGCCTGAGCGCAAGAACAGCCTTCCCGATGAGAGTCTCACGAAGCCGACGGAAAGACGGCGCTCACGTATTTTCGAGACGGCGGAAAAATTCCAAAATATGGCCAATCAAGCGAGTGATAGAGCGAAGAAGTTTGTGGTGCCCGGCGTGAAGAGAGACACGGAGCGTCGTGCTTCCGTGCCGGTGGCGGAGTGCGTGGAGAAGGAGACGACATCCCAGACAGTGCAGCAGAGTGAGGAGGCGAAGAGTGAGAATGCAGAGAGTGTGCTGAAGTCGGGAGTGAATAAGTCAAGCCCAGATGATTTGCAGAGCAGCGACTCGAAAGGCTCGGTGCAGAGCTTCTCACTGGAGGAGGCGAGGAGGTCGATGGAAAATTCAATTGCACTGCTCAATCAGGTGACATTTTCTGTACAACAAAGAGCTCAAATTCTATTACTTCATCTTATATGAGCTCCGCTGTAATAGTTGTAATTTCATTCCTTACCCTCGGGCTTCTCTCTTTGACGTGCTGCTCATTCAAATGGCGCACGTCTCGGAAATACGAGCAATATCCTTATTACGATGTTATTCATTATTTATATTGAAAGGAGGAATTGGTTTATTTTCCTTCTTCACATTCTCCCCCCCATAATCTTCATCATAACATTGGCTTTTCATGAAAAATTTCCAATAAGATCGTTTTGCGAGCATTGGATGGTATTGAAAATTTCTTAATTCTCCACAGGCTCGAAATGAATCGAATCCTGATGTTGATCAACTATGTGCCAAGACTGAAAATGTGGCTGTTTCTGACGAGAATGCCGAGCGTCAGCGAAAACTGAAGAATGCCAGAGAAATAATTGGTAATGCCATACAGCCTGGAAGATTATGCATGGGTACGAAAATGACCCCTCTTCCTCAACACACAGAAGATACACTGAGCACACTTTCACTCCTTTCTTTGCTCGTGACATATAGTGAATATTAATGGTTGGTCTCTTTTCCGGGTGGGTGACTTTTTTGCAGGTATTCGCAAACCGCCTGTGCCGTTTGGCATCAATGGACGGTCAATATCGGGAAGTGTGGTGCCATCGGCGACGGGAAGTGAGAAGAAATCGATGCGCCTGCAAGTTGGACCGGATCCAAGTGATGTGAGGACGGCCACATTTTCAGTATCAACTCCGGAACAGAGGACTTTCGACAAGGAGCCTCTGACTGCCTCACTGGCGAAACGTAAGAGAGACTTTGTTTTCAATTGCATGAGCTGGAGATTAATTGGATTGTTTATGTCGCTCCATGTGAAGCTGTGGCCGTTACCACTCAACCGGAGACTCCGAGTGAGGGCACAATGAAGACGTCACGTGCGGAAATTGTCCTGAAATCTGCCACTCTGCCGCGGCGCAAGGTGAAGCCGGACACGGCCCTGGAGACGACGAGCAGCAAGCCAGATACGGGAATGCGCTTCTCCACTGAGATGCAGCATCAGATGCCGGATTTGCGAAGTGCACCCATTCGTGAACATTCAACACCCTACAGTCCATTGTCACTCCATCAGCGTGCCATGAGCCTGGAGCCGCAGGCGAAGGAGCACTTCGTGCCAATTGCCCGTCCCTCGAATTACATCAAGACGACAACATCTTCCAATCCCTTCCGGGCAGCATCGCTCTCGCGCCAGTCGACGAATGAGTCCGACACGGAGACAACGACAACCACGTCGGCCACGCAGAGTCAACAGAACGTGGCGGGCGGAGCAAATCAGCCGATTAAAAAGAGCCCCAGGGAATTCATCATTCCCATCGCGGTGGAAGGTGGCGGCTACATTACTCCGCGAGCTGGCAGTCTTGAGCCGTCGGAATCCACTGCCAGTGGCTCGACATTTAGGAGCACAGCGAGTCGCACCAAGAGACTTGGGTAAGTTATCCACTTTGCAAGTGTGAATTATTAAAACTCCATCAGTTGCTGATGCAGCTCTTCAGCCCTCAAGTCCTTAAATACATGTAAGGATTCATGGAAATCCTTCTGGATTTGATCGTCTTGCTTTCACTGAATTCAAAGTTGTTCTATGGAAAGCTTATCAATATTCTTCACTTGTATGAAGTTTGTTTCCGTGAGGCGTATTGAAAAATTGTTTACACTTTCAGGTCATTGCTGGGTGAGCGCGATTCCGAGGAGGATTCGCTATTCAACAAGCTCCATCGTCACACATCACTGACTAAGGAGAGTGACACGGATGAGCCGAGATTTCATTCTATGCATCGTCTGAGGTGAGAATTGATTTCCCTTCCCATTTTTCACATTCCACGTGAAGAGGTGAAAATGTTCTCGGAATATCTTGAGCTGAAATGTATTTGTGTGTGATTTGTCTCTTGTGCACAGGAGTACTCGTCCTGTGAAGAAGATAAATCAGGATCCTTCAGCGGATTCTGCAAGTTCCGGCGAAGATGACGACGAGGATGGATTTGAAATTCTCACAGCAGAGAATCTCTTTTCAACTCTACTGCAACGAGTATGACAACACAATTTGTATAGACTGTTTTTGTACCCTTGTCACAAATTTGTTTTCTGTTTACACACAATATTAGGTGCGTGCCCTGACAAATCGGATAAATGTGAACAACGAAACAACATCGGGCTTCCCAAGTTCGAGATTTATGAGCAACCTGAGACAGGGACACAGTCCCTTCTGGCATCACGATCCGTTCGGCAGGTGAGTTGTCTGCATTTAACAGTCAATCAACCATTTGGAGACTTTGCCTTCTGGTTTATTTTTTATCTCATACTAATGGCGTTTTTATTTGCTGGAACAATTGACTAAAACAATAACCATTTCTCAGTACCACTCACCCATCTCACCAAAGTTACTCATATAGGAGTGAAACAGTTGAAACCAAAGTAACGTAAGTGTTTTATTTGCTTCTTCCAATAATTGAAAGAAAAAAAAAAAGAAAACAGAAAGAACGAACGAACAATTTCCTCTCTATTGGTTTTTGCCTTTCACACGGGGTTGGGAAAATGTGGTTAATTTTGCGAATAATAAGAGATTTCTGGTAACATGCTGCGGGTGGCCAAATTGGCTTTGCTCTCATGCCCATTAAACCATCGAAATGCACACACAGACATTTTCTCCGGATGCACCAATATCCATGATTTAACTCTTTAAAGACCAGTGAAACAAATGTGAAGCAATTGTAAATATATTCTCCTTGTTTTCCTATCTTCATAGAATGTCAATAAAAAGAACTAATCGAGTTCCAGATGCTGTTTTTATTGCACATTTAATGCAGTTGTTTGAATTTCATGCTGTTTTACCCTTGTTGACATTTAGATTAAAAGTATTTAATTTGAAAGCCGTAAATATTGAGTGCTTTTTTCTCCACTCAAACAGAAGCTAAATGAGAATTTTCCAATAAAAATTACATCTATGCAGAATGTGTGTTAATTTATCTCATCAATCTTTAAAGAGTTAATTTGACTCACATTATCTGCTGTAAATATTTATTAGTTGCGTGTAAAAAACACACTTATTTCTCAAATAATTGCAAAATAATTAGTCATGCACCGAATTGAGCAATTGAAGTGTGATTTGGCGTGAATTGGATCTATAAAAGTTGTGTCAAAAGTAAAAACACGGAATAAATGGTCTTCGAGAGACTGTGTGTACATTTTCAATTGCTAATAGTGGGTGAAATGTATTGATTTTGCTGTGAGGGCGGATAAATTGTTATCATCTCTCCCATGTTCTGTTGTATCTCTTGCAGTCGCCTCAACAATGGCGGTCATCCGTGGCGAACTAGCATGACCCGTGACCTGACGGCCGACATTGACTCAATGTTCTCGCGCTCAACAGGAGCCACTCTGCCAAGAGGTGACTATCGTCAATTTTTCTCCAAGTAAAATCTCTCGGATTTTGTTTTATTTTCCGTTTTCCGACCGTGTTTTTCTCACAAATTCTTTTGAGACGTTTTTTTTATCTTACTTTTCTTCTCTTACCTTAACTTTGATTTGATTTTGTTGAAAGAAGTTGATTTGGCATTGAGAAAACATCAGTGATTTCAATCATCACATTTTTTTTTTTGGTTTCATTCAGACATATTTTTGATTTTATTTTTGACATAGTTTTCTTATTTTTTTTTATTGATTTTGTTTGAGAAGAGAAGACATCATACGAAAATCACAGTGAAGATGGAAATGAAAGTATGAAGGAATATTTTCGATTTTGTGTACAGAGTGGGAAAAAAGTAGCGATTTATAATCTTGATTATTTTTGCAAGAATGCATTTTAGAATGAGTCCCACTTAAAATTTTTTTGTACTATTTTTGTGCCAATCAAAACTATTTCTAGTCTTATTTTTGAAATGTATCTCAATAACCCAATTTTTTCAAGCAATGTCATCTTTTTAATCTTTATCGCTACTTTCGATTTTATCAAATATTTCACGTCTTTAACTTTTTGGGCGCTGAAGGAGAATTTTATAATAATCAAGTTACATTTTTTGATATCTTACAATCATTTTGCACTTTCTCCTTTTTTGAAATTGTGTCTCTTTTGCCATAAATTCTATCACTTTTATCTTCTTAGATTTGTTATATTGAATGCAATTTTGTTGTTTAATCTAGAATTGATAGAATATTGATATTTTTTCTATTTAGAAAGAGAGTTGAAGTTTCTTTTTTTGTTTTTTGGCCCATTTTTCCTTCATACACCGTAAAAAAGAATGATGATATATCTTTAAAAACACATAACTTTTATTACAAAATATATAATAAAAAATAGTAGACAACATTAGAAAAGAAATTGAAAGATTTTTAGACAAAAAGAAGTGAAAAAAAGAACCATCGTATACAGAAAAACATATTTAATATGGAATTTCTACTGTTGCAGTTTTTTTTATTATTTAATTTTTTTTAATTTAAAAGTAGTTTGTTGACGTTGATATTAAAACATTTTTTAGTTAATATTTTAGTCTCAAAATTTATTAATCATATTGTATTTCTTTGTAAATGTTTATATAAAACATAAGCAACAAAAATTATATCATGAACGAAAATAATATATTAAATTCAATAAATATCTTTTTGAAATTTTCGAAAAAGAGTCCTTTTCTTTATTTCGGGTGAAAAAAACATTGTGGAATCCGCAGTGATTCTGATGGAATATTGCCGTGAATTTACAATTCTTGTACATTTTCTGTTTCCAAAAACGATACGCACAGACATTTTTCTTTTTTGATTAATTTTTCTTTGATTAAAAAAAAGCTGAATAATCACTCTTACCAATTAACCGATTTGATTGTTGTGCCGTAGTGTTTTTTCTCTTATTATTTTATCACATGGAATATTTCTATACATTGAAAGACCGCATTGATTAGTCGTTTTTTTTATTTTCTTTTTGACAATTGATCTACTTTTTTACTTGTTTCTGTTGAATGTAGAAATTTGTTTTTATTCTTTTGAATTGACTTTTCTGACAATTGAATTTTCTCTCAAAAAATGTTCTTTTCCCGCTCGTCAAAAGAGAAATTATTTGGCTGAAGTTCTTTTCGAATCTTTCTTCAAAGTCTTCTTTCCGAAATGAATCATGAAGTATTTTGATTTGAGAAAAGAATACAATTGGAGAAAAATGTATTTTCGTTCATAGTTTAATTGATGAATTTTTTTTTCCTTACAATCTTTAATCCAATTTGATGTAACCAAGAATTTGTCGTTTTTTTTATACTCTTATTAACTCAATTCGAAATGACAAAGTTTGACACGCACTTTTGCTGCAAAAATATTTTCTCCTCATTTTTTCGGTCCTAATACAGACTTTTTGTAATGTTTTCCGTATTGTAATTCCCCAGCGTTGCGAATGAGAGAAAGATTAATTGGACTAAACTCTTGTTTACTTGTAGGCTTGTGATTAGATGACATTTTTTTGTGTTTGTGCCCACAAAATCCTCTTAACTCTACTTTATCCGAAATGTACAATTTGTGCTTGCAGTGGGATTCGCATGCTCAAAATCCCCGCGAAATGAATCTCAAACGACAACAACAATCACAACAACCAACACCGAACAGCGGTCAGAATGAATGCAAAAAAGAATAGAAAACAAAAATGCATTTGAATTGAGAAAGAGAATTTGTACAGAAAATAATGCGCGCGCTCTAACAAATTACCTTCACGACCGAAACCGTAATTATACTACCTCTCAGTTACCACTATTGAAAATGTGTACTACCACTCTACTACTCCACTACCTTCGCGAGTGCTGCGCAATGTCAAGAAAAGCACGTGAGTTTTCTTTTTATTTTTTTAAACGTTTTTCACACAAAAAAAACACCTTTTTCAGTTTAAAATTCCCATCACGTGAAGCTTTCACGAAGAATGCAGCGCGCCAATGCTTTTGAAAGAGAGAGAGAGAGAGAAAGAGCGAGAGTTTTTTTGTGATCAAAAAGGGACAATTTTGCATAAAATATACAATTTTCGGTGTTCTCTTTTCCACTCAGTTTCTATTTCAACGGGGTGAGATTTAAAAATTGCATTTGGTTTTTTGATTTTACTGTGCAACGGCGCACAGGAGAGAATAACTCAATTTTTGGGCGAATTTTTTCGTTCCCAATCAAATGCAAAATTGTCTCTTTCGAAAAACTGTTATTTTATTAATTTGTGTCTGGCTCAATATGCATCAACAATTTTCAGTGTGATTTATTATACTTGTGTTTTATCTACTTCAATGTGATCGTGTGTGCGTGTTGTGTTTATTGTAGATGCAATGAACAATTTGCAATTTGACGAACTTGACTTTTACTTAGTCAAACAGTCAGAGAACAATTAATGAGTTTCCCTTCTGTAATAAACTTTTGATGATAGTTACGGACAAATTTCTTGTTCAAAATACTGTTTGACTAAAGCAAGAGAGTTCCATCGGTAAAAATAGTGCTTGTTTTCTAATGATTTGTCACGGTTATGTTTCCTTTGCGTACAAGTGCACAAAGAAATTTCATATGCAACGTGAAGCACTTTTCATCAATTTGTTTCTTTGGTGTTTAACCAACTTCTGGAACGTGTGTTTTCGTTATACAAACAATTCTTGCACCCATCACGAATCCTCATCCTCACAGAGAAATGAAGAGAATGAGGCAGTAGAAAAAAATGAGGCAAAAAGAGAGGAAAAAATTGCTGTTGAACGTGTAAATGAAAGTTGTTTTGAGTGCAAGTAAGTAAATGGAATGTTTTTTTTTCTTCCTGTTTGAATATTTCTTTAAACAAATTTATCCTTATCTCGCTGAACCATGAACAATATGATTTATGCGCAGAGTTGCCAAAAGTCGAAACATGAGACGCGAAGAATGAATATACCAGAGAAAGCTACGCTTGTTGAGATGGTATTGAAGGTTGCCATCATTTCTTCTTCCAGGGCCGAAGAATAAGTATAAGAGAGGCGGGATTGATCATGATGGCACGGATGTGGTGGACAATGGCGAGAATCTGGATCTGGCGGACTTGGACTTGTCTCAGTTGCGTCTGACGAAGAAGGATCTCGAGACACTGTCCAGCATCACGCCGGCGCTGTCAAAGCGCGTTCAAGATCAACTGTTGGCCAAGTTGCCGCCCAATCAAGCCAAGAAGCTCTCGCGCACGCTGTCAATGCAGAACAATGCGTCGCAAAGTGCTAATCAGAAGATTTACAAGAGGAGTTTGAGTGGCGGCAGAGATATCAGTGATGGGAAGCCAGATCTCATTAAAGACGTTACAGATTTGGGCGGAAAGGCCACAGATCTGGACAGAGACAGCATCTTCCGGCGCAGTTTGAGCAGAACGAGATACGACACTGGTGAGAAAGAGTCCAGAAGCTCCAGCAGATGCAGGGATTCACTCAGATCTTCCTACTCGAGTGACGCCAGTGATAAGTACAAGACCTACTCGCACTCGCCCTATTCGGACAACTTGACGGTGGACAGGAAGAGTGACTACGACAAGCCACCCTCACCGTACAGGTACTACGACACTCTGCCGCCCAGATCGTCTTGCATAAGCCCCACAAAAGAGCAATACGGACGCCCTCCGATTGGCGGCTGTCTCTCTCCTCCGCCTGTTCTCAGCTCTGACAACAGCGTCTTGAGGAGGAGATCGTCCCAGAGGCGGATTTCACGCTTCCTGCGTCCTGATTTCTTCGACACGCCGCGCGAGGAGAGCATCTACGTGGCAGACAAGGAGTCTCGCGATGCGGAATCGCAGAAGATTCTGCGCGAGATCAGGGAGAGGAGCCGCGAAAGGAGTCGTGACAGAGCGCTGGACTATGATCGCTACAAAAGGGAATCCAGTGAGGATCGCCTGACGTACTTCTCAGACAAATACACGCCGGAGGTTAGGAAGCATCTCGTCAATTGTCCGCAATACAACTCTGATCCCGTGGCGAATGCCCTGGATCTCATCAGTACGCGCAGGAGGAGTTTGTCGCGATCTCGTGATTTGTCAGAAGGTGCCAAAAGCTGTGACAGTGAGATCTCTCTCACAGACAGGATTCTCAATGAATTGCAGAACATTAGTCGCGCGAAGGCGGAGAATTCGATTGAAGAGCCACCAATCAAGACTAAAGTGAAGAAATCAAAATCGAAGTCTGATAGTTCTGAAAGAACCGGGGAGGAGAAGGTGAAGAAGCAGAAATCAAAGAGCAAAATTCCTGCCAAAGCAGATTCAAATCAATCCTGTTTGCCTGCCAATGAAATGGATCTCGTGAAGAATCTCACAGAGCAGATAAATTCAGTGAATCTCCTGCTGGAGAATCCGCCAAGTGAGGAGAAGACGAAGAAGGAATCAAAGTTAATGCGTCCCAAGTCTTATCCCAGCAAGGAGCCGGAGAAAGTGAAGAAAATCTCTCCGGATAAGAGCAAATTGGCACTTGTGAGTGAGCAAGAAGTGCTCAGAGAGGCTCAACAATTGCCCGTGCAGGAGGAGAAATCTCAGATGCGGCCCAAGAGCTTCCCCAACTCAAAATTGACACCCCCGAAGGAACTCAAGGAGTTCAAGAAGTCCATGGAAATCAATGGGAGCGCCCCAGTAGAGAAGATGTCGAAGAACAGTAAATCCCCGGTGGAATCTGGAAGCTCCACTGCCACGAAAACAACGAAGAAAGTCGTGAAGGTTGTGAAGAAGTCACCGCCAAAGCCCGAAAACGGTGAGAAGATGGAGAAGAGTCCTGTCAAACAGGAGGAGATCCGGGAGAAGTCGCCTGAGAAGAAGAGCAGGGGATTCTTATACAGCATTAGCCAGAAATTTGAGAAGCTGAAGGAGAATACGAAAGGCAAAGAGAAGAAGAATCCTACTAAATCCGTTGAGAAGTCCAAATCGAAGGAATGCGTGTTGAATGGGGGAGAGAACATCCCATCAACTGGGAATGCAGAGGAGATTCCTGTGGTGTTGGTGAAGAAGAAGAGATCAAAGACCACAGAAGGACTCGCTGAAGAGTCCCGTGCAGAGGACAAGAGTCAAGCTGCTAATAAACTCGACAGGAAGTCGAAGATTGATGCAATGATACGGAATCTGAGGGAGAGATCTGTGCCCAGAGGCTCAGGAATAACAGAATCTGGCCTGATAAAGCGGGCTGTGAGTGTGGAGGACATGCCAGGAGCCTTCAACAAGTGCAGCGTCAATCGCGTCTTGGGATTGTTCAAGAAGATCGAAAAGGAGAGTCAGGATGTGAATCGCGTGAGGAATACGAAGAGCATTGGAAATGTCGTGGGGCTTCAGGCGGAGATGAATGGCGTGAAGGAGAGACCCAAGTCCAGTGGCTTCGTGAGCAAGTTGAAGAAGACTTATCCATACACGGGAGCCAAGAGTGACACCATTGTGACCATAACGGAGGCTCTGCAGAAGCAACAGATAGGCAAGCAGGACAAAATGAATGGGAACACGAAGATTCCCATGAAATGTCTGCCCAATTGTCCGGAATGTGGCGAGGAGGCGAGTGCTGTTCAGGTCACGAAGAGGCATTCCAACGGAGACGCCATGGGACAGAGTATGGAGGAGAAGGAGCGCATCAGGAACAACAGGAAGGGTCTTATGCTGGACTTCACGAAGCTCGAGTGCTGTCCAGAAAGCAAAAGGCACTCAATGGTTGAGCCAAAGGTGACGAACTACACCAATAACAACTTGGCCAACCATTCCGCCGCGACAGAAATCAACCAGAATCATCTGCACACTCCCTCGTCGGACTACATGGCCAGTTACTCCTCAGATAGCCGGAGTCCCTATGATATCGACTGCGGCGCCTCGACCAGCACGTTCTTCTCGCCCACGGACGAGCCAGAGCTGTACTTTGATGACTGGTCAGTTTGCTCTGATGATCACCTGATTGTCAACTCTCCGCCGCCGCTCACGAAGCTCTCGCACAATCCAGTGCACGTGATTTCTCCGCAGCACAGCCATCCAGCGTCCGTGGAGAGCATCGTGGACCGCATTCGACGGAAGAGTTTCTACACGCGCTTCAATGAGAAGAAGCCCAAACGCGTAAGCACAATCGTGGGCCCCGCGGCCAAGGACTACTATCGCGACTCCACGTCGCGGTCCAAATCCCGTCCGCCGGAGTACATCAAGTCGCCCACAATAACCATTGGCGATCACTCACGCGGAGTTCACGAGTACTACAGGCCGCTGCGAATGCCCACGGACTCCACCACGTCCTCGTCAAGCAGCAGCAGCAAGCACAACTCGGCGCCGGTGAATGGTTATCGATCGGTAGACTTCCTGCCGCAGCGAGAGTATCTGCGGAGGCCCAACTACTCGGCGGATCTCGGCTATCAGGTGAAGAACACACCGGGCAACAGGAGCAGCCTCTATGGCGAGGGCAATTCCATCTACAGCACCTACAGCCCGAAGCGAAGAGTGTCCTATGCCAGCGGCGGACCCATTGACACCTACGCGACGCTGGGCAGGAAGTCTGCAGGCCTCCTCGTGGGCAAGTGCGTGGAGAATGGAGCCAATCCAAGGTTTCACTCTGAGAGCTTTTTCCAGGAAGAGAATGACATGTCCAAGGGGATATAATTTGCATAAGTGTGTTCATTAATACTTTTAGCATCCTGGCAAAATATTTGGAACCAAGTATCTTCCCCTTGGACATGATATCCTCCTCGGAAATGCATTGAATTTCCATTTAAGAACGGTTTTTCTATAGCTCAGTCTCTCTTCTTGCAGCAATAACTTCTACGTGAGGACATCCTCTGCTCTTCCCTCGCGCAGAAGTCCAACGACAAACATTTGATCGAAGCCACAGCATCAATTGGAGGTGATCTTCGGGCGCAATTGTTTCTGCATCTTCAAGCCGTGATTGCGAGAGCAAACATTCAAATAAGATTATGTCGATTCGACAAGTAAGCAAAAGAGAGAATACAGATTACAAAGAAGTACATTTACCACAGGAAATGTGGCAGAATGAGATTTAAAATACACACGAAGATATATTCTAAAGTGGATGAATTTTTAGGGACTGTTTATTCTTTTATAATGTTTTTTAGACAATTTGGGATATATTTGATGAGATTAAATGAAATTTGAACATGAGGATGCGTGAAAAGAACTTCCAAACAGATACTTTTTTATTCTTAGCCTCGTTTGTCCTCCTAAATGAGCGTTTCACACATCCCAAAAAAAAAACATTGGACAATTTTTATATGAGCGACCTTTTAACACTCTTTTTGTATACAAATCAGCAAGTTTTAAAGAGATTAACGAAAGGCAGTATCGCGCACAAGAGAAGGTGGTTGGGAATTTGTAGAATGATTAGAGAAAGAGAGAAGGAATAATTCAATAATATTGTTAACGTTTTTAGCGCAATTTTTCCCGCCTCTCAGCGCGAGAGGAGGAATAAATGTGTTGATGAAAAATAACTATATCTCCTAGTAAACTTAGCCAAGTGAGAAGTAATAAATGAAAGTCTTAGTGTCCTTACGAATCAAATGAATTGTTAATTTTAATCAATTTCTAATATCTATTGTAGAACAATTGGAAATGAGAAATAGAAATGCAATTGAAATTTTTGTAGTTTGTTGGAGATTGGCGGATGTTTTTTTCTTCTCAAATTAGTTTGAATCCTAGCCTTACAATTGATATGATTTATGCCAAGAGTGGAGGTGAGAAAAATCATGAAATTATTTATATACGTGTATATTATTTAAATAAACCAATATATACAGAATTAGAAAGCAGCAATTGGTATTAATTCACTTTGAGTTCTATTCAAATAACATTCGCCCATTGGATTTTGAAGTACTTTTGGATAAAACACACGAAGTTAACTTTATGGTAAGTAGAAAACTAAGTTCAAATTGAATTTTGTGAGTTTCTCAAACTACTTTTAGGTCTTTAGAAAATCAATTGACCAGCAAACAAAGAAAAATACTTGAAAGAATATTTGTTATATATTTAATCCAATCATTCTATCGATAGCAAAACTCTTCACAGCATTTATCAATTAGTGGCAATTAATGTGAAATAGACTGATTCATGTATTTTACTTAGTCTTCCCCAAACAAAAACATGACTTTGACCCCTAAAATTGTACTGTAGATCCGTTTATGTTTGTTTACTTCCACCTTTCAAGCATGCCAAAATGCTTGACAAATCACTAAACACTCTTAAATGCGAGGAATGCTCTTTACTCACAGTCACACTTATATGATCACATAACAATCTTATTGAGAATTGATAGCGAGAGAATTTCTTCCCTCAGAGTGAGTCAATTGAATCTGTATCGTGCATGTGGCAGTTTTCCGCCGAAGGCAAATTAATTAACACTCTCTGGACTGTAAATGTTCCCTCTCTCGCGTTGACAAACAGTTTTACTATTGGTTTTTGCTCACTCTCGAGCGTCTGCTGCGAACGATTTCTTCGTCTACCAGTGATATAAAGCCGAAGAGAAACTTAAAAGCTCCCTTAGTATTGTTCTATGCGCGGAAGTGAAGCACATACTCAGAAGTTCTCAGAAGAAAGTGCAGTGATTCTTTTGTGATGGCAGAGGAAAACCATTCAAATACAGTGAGTAGTTAAATACAATCGATTCACACTAATAATAATAAATTGATAGGTAATTAGCAAACAATTGATAAGCGTCAAGAGCACATAATAGGAACATTTTCAGTGAGATTGTGCATTATGCAATTTATTTGTGCAGTCGTCGTTGATAAAAAGCAACTGGTCGCATTCGCGCCAAAATGTTCGGAATTTCTTGGTTTCCGGGTTCAAAACCTTGAGTCACGTGATGTGATAATCCATTCCAAATTATGCTCTCACCAGCAGATTCCCATGGCCAATGCCTTGACCATCGGAGAAATGACGGAACCCACAGACAATCCCGCCCAGGATGTACCAGGGAAGAAAGGAATGGACATAACTTACGGGATTGACGATGTTCCGCCCTGGTATTTGTGCATCTTCCTCGCCATTCAGCACTACATGACCATGATTGGCGCCATTGTGTCTATTCCCTTCATCCTCACGCCGGCGTTGTGCATGGAGGATGAGAATCCCGCCCGTGGAATCATCATATCCACCATGATCTTCGTCACGGGATTAGTTACTTGGTTCCAGGTTGGTTTTTTTCTGCAAATTTTGTGCGATGAATTGACTTTCGCGCCACTTTTTGCAGGCCACGTGGGGATGTCGACTGCCAATTGTTCAGGGCGGGACAATTTCCTTTCTCGTGCCCACACTGGCGATCCTTCATTTGCCTCAGTGGCAGTGCCCAGCGCCCGAAGCCATGGCCATGATGTCGTTCGATGAGAAGGAAGAGATCTGGCAAGTGCGTATGAGGGAGCTTTCAGGGGCCATTGCAGTCGCTGCTCTCGTGCAAGTCATCATCGGCTACACAGGACTCGTGGAGCGCCTCATAAAGATCATCACGCCACTGACCATCGTGCCGACAGTGGGTCTTGTGGGACTCACACTCTTCGAGCACGCCGCCACCACGGCTTCCAAGCACTGGGGAATCGCCGTCGGCACAACAGCCATGCTCACGCTCTTCTCCCAAGTGATGGTGAACGTGAATATTCCTGTCGTGAAGTACCGCAAAGGACATGGCCTGGAAACTCGTCCCTTCGCCCTGTTCAAGCTCTTCCCCGTTCTGCTGACCATCGCCATCATGTGGGGCCTCTGTGGCCTCCTCACGCTCTTCAATGTCTTCGAGCCGGGCAATCAAGCTCGCACAGATGTGCGTCTTCGCGTCCTTACAGACGCTTCATGGTTCCGCGTGCCATATCCTGGCCAGTTTGGCGTCCCCACAGTCACTCTAGCCGGCGTCCTGGGCATGCTGGCCGGCGTCATTGCGTGCACAGTGGAGTCCGTCAGCTATTATCCCACAGTCTCCCGAATGTGCGGCGCCAAAGGCATTCCAGCGCACGCTCTGAATCGCGGCATCGGCGTCGAGGGCTTGGGAACGATGCTGGCCGGACTCTGGGGCAGTGGAAATGGCACCAACACATTTGGCGAGAACGTGGGCGCCATTGGGATCACGAAAGTGGGCAGTCGCAGAGTAATACAGTGGGCAGCGGCCATCATGATTGTTCAGGGTGTTGTAAGCAAGTTCGGAGCAGTGTTCATGATGATTCCTGATCCTGTTGTCGGCGGGATTTTCTGTGTCATGTTCGGTATGATTTGTGCGTTTGGGCTTGGAGCTCTGCAATACGTGGATCTGCAGTCAGCCAGAAATCTCTACATCCTGGGATTGTCTCTCTTCTTCCCGCTGGTTCTCTGCCAGTGGATTCAGAAACATCCCGGCGTCATCCAAACCGGAAATGAGACAGTCGATGCGACTTTGTCTGTCCTTTTGGGCACTTCTATCCTTGTGGGAGGCGTCATTGGATGCTTCCTGGATCACATCATTCCAGGAACAAGGGAAGAGCGTGGCGTCGCGGCGTGGGAGAAAGAAATTAACTCATTTTCCAACGATTCTCCACAGGATGGAAATGAAAATACGTCCTGTTCAACGTATGATTTTCCTTACGGCATGAATATCTTGAGGAAATGTCGATGGACATCTAAAATACCTTTCCTGCCCACTTATCGACCATCCTCAAAGAGGAATTAGAGACACAAATTAGACATGTACAATTTATATTAATCACTGATATAATAAAGTGTGGAAAAATTTTACCATGCTTGAGATCCAAAAGTCTTCCGACTCTTCGTGAGCTTTATCAACTCATGTGCAAAAAATTTTCCTGGGCGTTAACGAAGGAATTAATAAGACTGTCGCACAATTTCACTTTTTCTATGCACAGGTCACAAATGTCCTGCGGCCATCCGTCGTCTTGCTGGATCACATTTGGCAAAATTACATTCAGCATCTTAACAATGTCCTTTCGCCTGAAGATCGGCACCAACTGAATGGACGCATTCGTCTCGATCTTTTTACTGCACAGACGACACACATTGGCAAATACATCTTTTTCCTCCTCTGCATCTTCTTCGTCCTTCACCAAGTTCTCTTCTTCCAGCATTTCAAAATCCACCATGTCCGGATTGGTGTCTTCCAGATGATCTTCCTCGGCAATGAACATCTTCTCATTCAGGACTTTCATCTTGGTGAGTTTCGATGATGCTTCTGTCTCAGTTTCATCTCTACTCGATGCTTCCGGACTGTTTAGCAGCGCCTTCGGGACGAATTTCTCGATGTTTGACTTGAAGATTGTGGGAATGGGGATTTCCAGAGGGTGTGTTTGCTTCCGCAGTATCGTCTTCTTGGATCCGGGATAGAAACAGTGCGGTTCGAAATGGTCAGAGCAGATGAAGTACTTCACCAGCTTGATGAGTGGCTTGGAGAGTAGATCCTCGCGGCCGGCTGCCGTGAGCCACTTGTGGGCGCTGAAAGAGAGCAAGAGAGAGTTTGAGGAGGTGGAGATTTGGGGGTGGGAAGCGATGTGTGCTTACTATTCCTCGTATTTGGGGACGCCAAAGTAGGATGTTTTGCCCGATTTGTCATTCACTTGCCTGCAACCAAAGCCGCCACATAAATGCTCATCCATTGCGGAATCTGATACTCGGGAGTGTTTACTTACGAGTTGAAGCACGTCTTGGCGCAGCATCTTTTTGACATGGTGGGAAATCCACACTCAAAATCGCAAAAGAAATATGCTTTTTGTGCCTTGTATATTATCGAATAACTCATCGACGAAGTTCGAAAAGCCGAGACGAGCCGATCGCCAGTCGAGTGCCAGCCGAAAGTGTGTCACACACTGGAATGTCAGTCATTCGATGAAAATTTGTCCGAGTGAGTGCATTTGTGGAGTGATATTGCGAGTGAAAATTTACCTACAATTCCGTGTCTATTCATCCTGAAAACTGTGCAATTGTGCACTTTGATGCGTGAAGTGTGGTGTGTCAGTGCGAAAAGTAGCTAAATCGTGTGGGGGCGGGTGATAAAAGAGCGTGAGTCTGAGTGTTTCCGACACCGCGACATACCAAAAATTGCTAATGGCGGCCTAGAAAAGGGGGTGCTTCTCGCCTCTCTTTTTTCTCACATCTGCACCAGCGCCAGCAGACGCCTGTCTCGCTCTGCCACCGGCCAGCGGACACTCCAACTAGAAGTGCGTGGGATCGCAGCATCCGGCGCGCGATGGGGGACGATCAGTGGCTGAAGGAGGATGGCTATTTGAACGTTGACACGGAGTCAACGCACATCATCTACCATCCTCACCTCAATGTGATTCTCGTATTTACCAAGACTGGCGAGGTGAAAGTGATCGACGTGAATTCTGGCGTCATTCTGCAGTCTTGCTCCCTGGCAGGTCAGATAACACGCCATCCGAGACTCATCATCGCACTATCTTATCGCTCTTCTATATTGATCGTCTCTCTCCCTCTCTCGCCAACAGACAGCGACCGAGTCAGCGGACGGTACCTGCCGAAGCAGGACAAAGTGCTCCTGTGGAACGAGCAGAACATCGGCATCCGAGGCGACTATAACGGTGTCCTCCTGCTGGACACAATTCTCCAGACGCCCGTTAAGCAGAGCGATGACATCGTGCGCATTGAGCTGCTCTACTCCGAGGCTGTGCTCTTCCTGCAGTGCATCCAGAGTCTGGAGGAGAATGGCCTCGAAAACACGGCGGACGTGAGCAATGAGCTGATGAAGAAGATCATGGAAGCCCAGCTGCACGCCAAGAAGGGCATCAAAGCGCAAAAAGTACGACTTATTTTCATACAAGAGACGAATTTGTTTATGTAACTCTGTTTTTTCGCAGTGGAATATCATTTGTTTGGAATTGCCGCACTCTAGCCTGAAGATGGTGGCCAGCAATGTGCTGTATCAGCTGAAACGCCTCGATCGACACATTCCCGCTCTGGCGATTGCATCAGCAATCAATGAACGACTCACGGATCTCTTGATCGGTAGTCGTTTATTGGATTCGCTCACGGGTGGCAATGCTCAGCGCTGTCTCATGTTCTCCGAGGCGGCGCGCCGGCAAACGTTCGAGCAGTGGCCCCATATGGACTACAAGTGAGTGTCTGGTGGGATTCCGAAGAGGGTTGTATGTTTTACCTGTCAAAAATTGCTTTAAGGTGGGCTCTTCCGGACCAAATGGCGCAAGCAGGCTTCTATCATCAGCCTGGCGAATCTGGTGACGATCGTGCCATGTGCTTCACGTGTAGCGTGTGTCTTGTGTGTTGGGAGAAGACTGATGAGCCGTGGAGTGAGCATGAGCGCCATTCGCCAACCTGTCCATTCGTGAAAGGTGAATACACGCAGAATGTGCCGCTGTCCGTCACGTATGCCACGAGTCCTGCAATCACCACAAATGGCTTCAGTATTGTGTCACGCGGAGACGACAGGAATATCATCTGCACGGGAGAAGTGACTGGGGAAGTGAGTGTGTGGAATATCGAGAGGAATCTGAAGAAGATTCACAGCTTTCGCGTGAGCAATGAGGAGAATTTGATAAAGTCGCACAGTGTGTACGTGCTGCAGAAGTTCTCGAAGATTGACATTGAGCTGAATGCCATCGGGACGTACTATGCAGTGGATCTGTCGAGTGTTGCATGTGGGAGTGGATCAGTGATGATTGACGATCCAGTGGCGAAGAAAGTGCCACTTGGTGGGCGGCATAAGATGATTGGGACGAAGATTTGCTGTGGCATTGTGGCGAAGGGAAGTGAATTGAGCGGAAGTGACGTGAGAGGAGCGGAAATGGCGATGAATATTGAGAATCAGGCAAAGAGTAGTGAATATGGGATTGAGATACCGAGCAATTGCATGGAATTGGATGAGAGTGAGGAGGATGACGAGGAGCTCTTTCTCATACTCTATGACATTCTCGATAGTGATAAGGAGGCAATGTGTGACAAACCGCCGCCAGAGGAGCCAATAATTCTCGATGCAATTCAGCAAGGACAGGATGGTGGCGCGACGAAGAAGTCCTCGCTGAAGAGCATTGAGTTGCCAGATCGATCAGATGGTGAGGGATTGAAGATGTTTCCGGTGATGAGTGCAGGCGATGATTTGGATAATATTCCGGAGGATAAGGGCAAGACGACGGATCAGATACTTGAGGAGGACTTTTTCCTCGAGACGGCTTTTCTTCCGGGGAAATTTAAGGTGAAGACAACAGGAAATGGAACAATTGACTTTGGCGCTTCGCCGCCGGTGAAGAGCAGTGTAAAGTTACCCACGAAGAGTCACAAGGATGACATCAATTGTGTGCCTATTCAGTGCATTTCACTCAAATCGCTCGCCTCAGATTCGTATAGAATCACAGACATCATTCCATCACACGATGAGAAGTACCTGTTGGTGGTGCTGCGACAGCAAATGACAAGGAATTCACCCAAGGATGATGATATCATTGAGGAGCCTCTGGAGGTGGACGAGTGTGAGAAGATGGAGATAGGCGATGAGGATGTGACACCAAAGGGAAAGACGCAGAACTTCTGTCAAGTGGAGAACATGACGCAGTTGATTCTGTTCAAGATCCAAGAAGATGGCTTCCTCAATGAGACACCACACTGTGTCAGGCATTTGTTTGAGGACGCCACACCGCTGGAAATTTGCATGTTGCCCGGATATGAGACTGAGCGTAAGGCAAATGCCCAGGAGACGAAGGAGGGTGTCTTTGTGATGACATGCATTGATGGTACGTTGAAGCTCATTGCTCTTTCGACGCTGCGCACGATTTCTGAGGCGAGCATTGATGGTGTCAAGTTCGTCTCAGCAACGTATTGTAAGAGTCTGGAGAGAATGTGCGGATGCACTGAGAAGGGATCACTGCACTTTTACTCATTCTACGACATGGAAGCGGATTCTGGGGATGAGCATGATGAGCACAACACGACGTTCATCATCTCGGACTCGTCGCTGTCGGATGATTCGGTGGTGTCGGACGTGAGTGGTGTGACGCACACTAAGAAGACGGGTAGTAGTGACTCGACGGCACCGTCAACATCCACAGCGGGCTATTCGGCAAGTCACCAGACGGACGCGAGCACGAACTTGATTGCCCACAAGAGTGACTTGACGATGAACGATCTCAAGCTTGCGTACGCGCTCACGGAGTTCGACGAGATGCTGACGCCCTACACCGCAGAAGTCCCAGTGTGCTGGAGTGAACTGGTGCAGGCCCAGAAGGTGCGACGGCATCCGCAGCATCTGAAGCCTGGCGATGATACTCATCTTACCAAGACGTGGCGGTTGCACAATGACGCGTGAGTTACTGTTAAATTCACTGGCTAGATTAATGGGATAATTGACTGTGATCTCTTGCAGGACAACCTGGGATGAGCACTTGATTGAGTTGTGTCTTCCGAAGCAAGCATCTCTGGGACATATTGACTTCAAATTCAATCTCTATCAGCAGTGTAGCAATCCGCCGGCTATTCAGATCACGCTCCTCAAGCAATTCTCTAGTGGTTTTGGGTACCGAATGAAGGCGCCGTCGACGAATGTCGGAAATGCGCCGGTTGATGAGAATATTGAGTTCAACTTGAACTCTTCGGAGAATCCTGTGCTGAGTGTGGAATATCTGCAAACGCACAATGCTGAAATCCTTGCTGGGCCCATTGAGTTGTCGTCGTGCATGGATTTGAGTGAACAAAGTGGAACCGTGACACTCACGAGTCCAAAGTTGTTCAGGACAAAAGGTCGTAATTACTTGATACACATCAAAACGATGAATGATCCGTCCAAAGATAGTCAGGGAAAAACACGAGGTGAGTATAAGTAATGCTCATGATATATTTTGAATTTATTTTCTCTTATTTTACACACAACATGAAGAAAAATGTATTTTTTCTCTCTGCATTGATACAAAATATGGCAATAAATGAAATTTTCTGTTTTTAGTGCCGGTTAGAAAAAAAGGTATCTTACGCTACCTGTCATTTCCCAATCATGAAACACGTAGTAAAAGTAAAAAAGCGTCAAATGAGAATTCATTTTTCCAAGAAAAATCATCAAAAAAGTCAGATAAAAATTCCTACTACATAGGTAATAAACTACAGTCCGCATGGTTGGAGTATTTTATTTATATTATTTATTAAACACCAAAAAAAAAGAGAATTTTGATTGAATGTCTGGATAGTTTCTACATAATATCGAGAATTCAATTGAAATTCTTTTTGACGATAAACATGGGAAATGTGAAGAGTTATCATTTGATAGTTGTGTGTGTGAAATTGTGTAACAAAAAGAAAATATCAAGCGATGGCTCTGCACATTCCCCAGAACTTTATAGTTTGATATTAACCATCAGAGAAAATGTACCTTAATCTTGTTAACTGTAGATGTTTGGTATAAAGTTTTCTCTTTGGAAATGGGCTAAAGTAGACGAAGATTCTTGAGAAGTCGCACAATTTGTCGATCATTGATCGTTGTGGAAGATTGTCTCAAATGATATTTGACGCTGTACAGATCTTCTGCTGCGATCGTGATTGGATTTGTTGTAATATAATTGCAATATATTGAATAGGTGGAGTGGAGGAAATGTGAATATTGACGGTGCTCCTCGTTTTTTAGGGTGTGACTGGCTGCATGAGATATCGATTACGGTGCGCAGCACAAATCCAATGTGCCGAATGGTGAGTGAGCGATCACAGCGAAGTGCAATGCTTGAGAGCAATGGCTTTCTCGTGAATCTACTGAAGATGGCATGCGACTCGAGTGCTCCGATGACACAGAACATATCATTGGACATAATCTTGTGGATTGTGTCGATACGAATGGCACGATATCGGTCACCAAGGAATACGGAGAGTACGTTTCCTGATGTGCACTCACTGCAGAAAGACTGTATAAAGATAATGGAGATGCATTTGAGTGACTTTATCAAGAATTGCATTCTGTACGGAAACAGGAGTGTGGCTCACAAATGCGTGAAGATTATCCTTGTGACACTAGAGTGAGTGAAATGGTGATTTTGTCAAGGAAAATATGTGATTAATTCTTTTGTAATCCTTTCAGGGGTGCCCACAATATGAAGTACAAGAAAGCACCAAATTCGACATTTGAAGAGGCACTAAAGAATGGCATTCTCAAGTGTTTCCCTCACTTGACCAACATCAAGTATGCGGGATCTCTGAGATGGTTCACACTGATGATTTGTGGCACATCCAATCTGGAGTCTTATGACTTCATTGCTAATGAATGTCTAAGACTTTTGTTGAGTGTGGCCAAGGAGATGAGCAACAGATTCAATCCTTATTCATCACTATTGCGATCGCGCTTTGGATTGTATGGAATGCCCTTCGAATTGGAGTTGTTTGATGCTGATTTGCCGACATCCGCTAAATATGCTTCACTCCCAACAACATTTGCCAGCATAATAAAGTCCGCCACGTCTCAAGGATCTTCGCAGGGTGGCATGGATCTCAAGAATTTCTTTGCCAATGATGGCTCGGAGTTGAAGATGTTGCCATTTCACATGCGCAAGCGAGGAATTGGGAATCAGTTGAAAGGATTGCTGGAGGTCGAACCACTTCACTATGTTTGTGTGTCGGCGTCTGAGGCAACAAGACTGGAGAATATGGACTCAATTTCGGCTGCTCAGGCGACTTTTGAGACACCAACGGTGAATAATGTGGAGCAGATGCCCAATGATACGTCTAAGAGCAAGGAAGCGAATGGTGCGAAGCAGGAAAATGGCATTGACGATGCAATGATGGTGGTGAAGAATAATTTTGTGGACAAGATCTTCTATTCGGCACTGAAGAAGCACAAGATCAAGGAGTCCACGCAGAAGATGTACGCTGATGTGATGGCGAGTGTGTCACAGGCGAAGGACCAGATAATGGATCCACTGAAGTCCATGAAGGACATGAAGAAGCTGGTGAAGATCCTCAAGATCGACATGGGCAATGACTTTGGCGGTGTGGATGTGGAGATGGACTCGCAGTATGTGGATGGCAGAACGAAGATGAAGGTGTTGGCGGAGAAGATGCAACAGTACATGGATGAGACAGAGGAGAGTAACAGCATGTTGCCATGGCACAAATTGCTGAGTTTGCCGCCGAAGCAGATGATTGTGATTGATCGAATGCACTCTGGAGCACGACGATATGTTGTGCTGGACTTTGGCATGCCGATAATGCTGACGGATTTGGTAATTCCCGCTTGTGAGGATCTCGTGTCACTGTTCATTGATATTTGGTGCTTTGAGGAGGAGTCGGACAGTATTCGTCTGGCTGTGTCTTCGGACATTGGATCGAAAACTCTGGTGCTAAGCGATCTGCAGCCACCACCTGTGTTCCGGTACATGAAGATCACTATCACTGGTAGATATGGAATGTCAGCGACTAGATGCAAAATCCCGATTGGCACTTTCTTCGGTCATGCCATTGTCATGGAGTCTGAGAGCTATGCTGATCCTCTGTCAAAGTACCTGAGGACAAAGACATCAAATCTGCCGGCTCAGCTGAAGATTCTCCATTCGCTCTTCGAGGATGTTCACTGTCGATACAGCTTGGCGAGCAGCAAGTTGGTTGAATTGCTGGATCCTCTGCTCACCAGTGATGCTTCAAACATGTCCCACATGCAAGCATATCTCTATCAGAAGAAGGACTGTGATGACTCTCTTGCGGATCACTCAAAGATCATCAACATCTATGATGACTGCATCTCCTTCCAGCACCAATTGAATGTGATTAAGAACGTTATTACGCGCCTTGAGGGCGCCATGGAGGAGAATGTTGTGGATCCCAGAGAGGCGCCTCGTCTGGCCATGTCGGACATCTGCACGGACAAACTGAGAGTGCTGAGTGAGTGTCTGATCGAGGCACTGCTGCACTTTGTCGTGGAGTTCGGCACAATTAACTCCAGCGCCATTTCTGTGGCCTTCAATCAACAGGCTTGTGAGACAATCTTCAACAATATCGTGATCTCTAGTGATACTCACATGCAACTGGCCACGTGCTCGTTCCTCGTGAAAATGTGCTGCTTCGAGCCGTGGTGGGGAGACTTTATCGCCAACATCTTCACCGTGTGGTACTCTTCGCAGAACAGTCGAATCTTTCCGCAGGACAGAGTCTTCTTCCTGCTCACTTATCTGGGTAGGAAGAGCATCACAATGGGCTCGTGTCGTGTCACTGTGATTGATGCTGTTCTCAAGACGCTGGCTAAATTCCTGGCTCCGCTGTCCAGCAACTTTCAAATGGAGTTTTCCACGGAGGAGAATCAAGAGGGAAGAAATGACTTCTGCCACTGGGCGAGTACAGATCTTCAACTGATTGGATGGCTTCTTCTCTTCCTCTCCGTTTGTCTTGATGACTGTGGTGACAAGAAGGATCAATCTTCGGCGCGATGGGACTTTATGTCCAGCGAAGTGGACATGAGTCGTGCTAAAAGTCAAGGATCGGGAAATACGAGACTCTTCACGCGCTCATTCAAGAAGAGATTCTATCAGAATAAGATTCCCAGTTCGAATTACACAAATGACTCACTGTCGCTAGCGCACAACACTTTTCATATGCAGGGTCAGATGATGCCGTCATTTAATGTGCACGATTCGACTTTCAAGGACATATTCATGAAGAAGTCGAATCAAGGAAAGACTTTTCCCACTTATCTGATTGATGCATCGTCTAAAGTGAAGTTCAAGATGTCCAAAGCCACTGTAGCGGCGTCCACATCGGCGCCGGCATCGTCAACATCCAGTACGAGTCAGGGAGCGACGCCCACAACACCAGCTTCCACTCCTCTGCCGCCGGTGGTGATCAAGGATTCTCTCCTGGATGCCAATGAGTCACCATTCGAGCGAGCATTGCGATCTATCAAGCCTCAGAATACGATAATTGTTATTCGGGGACTGATTGGACTTATTCTGGGCATGGACTTCACGTGTAATATGGATCTCTTCCTGCTCGCGTGCAAGATCATTGCTCGTCTGGTGTCTTCGTGTCGCTCGACAATTCAGCTGTCGAAGATCATCACGCCAGCTCAGTTGCAGCAACTGATCAGGATTGCCGTGTGGGAGGATCAGCAGCAGCCGTGGGCAATTCACGCCATCACATGTCTTCTGCAGGACATCCTTGAGACGGACAGGAACTTCAAGTGTGACATGGAGGAGAGCTTCAGCGGTGGCACGCCGATGGAGTTGGCCACTGTGGATAGTGGATCGATGGACGATTCGCTCGACTTGGCCGTGGACAATGACGTGATGCAGTGCGTGTTGGCGAAGATTGAGACAATGCAGAGTTCCACAGTGAATAAGGATGCACCATATGCGGATGGTGAGTATTGTAAGCCTTGTTTTGTACTTCTGCAACATGGTTTAATGGTCTTTTCTCTTCAGCTCTGAAGACAAAACTTCCATCGCTGATGGAGTGTGAAGATGCTGAGATGGAGGATCTTCTAGATGACATCTTTGACCATGGGAAAAATCTTGTGGGCAGGAAAGATGGTACGAATCAGAATCGATCTGCTTTCGCTGTGAGCTACAGGTAAATTTGTAATTCTCTTCCTGTGAAACCTGAGAGATTGAGTGATATCATTATTTCAGGTCCTTCTTCTCGAGGAGTGTTTCTTGTGCCATGGACGCCAGGCTTGAGTATGGACTTGAGAGCAACATAGAGATTGCCTTGCGACGGTTATCAATGGCAGCCTCGCTGAATCTCTTCGCGAATTGGCCGCCAGTACCGACAGAGGGAGAACTGTTTGAGGCAACTGTGGATCTTCCATCCTGGCCAGATCAAATCATCCAGGCGTGGTCATGTCCGGAGTACACGCAAGGCTATCCCACGCAGATCATGCTGATTCTCGTCTTTGACAACATCTTCTCGGACTTCCATGAGTCGTGGCTGAATCTGGAGCAAGTGCTGCAAATGTGGTTGACACTCAATGGCGAGTTGGGTGACAAAACGCCAACGGGCAATTTCATGGCCATGGAAGCGCCGAGAATCCCGTTCGGCAGGAATGCCATTCAGGGTCTCCTGTCGGCTCTGTCGTGGCATCCAAATATCAAGTTGCGCGCCTGGTGCTTGGGCTTCCAGTGCCTCGCGCTCGCTTGTAACACTAACAACTTTGACTGGCTGAGTGCAGAATACACTACGGAGGATCTCAATCAGAGCCACTACACGCGGATGGGAACGTTTATCGTGAACAATCAGAACTTTGAGAAGATGCTACTGAGATTCTTCTCCGGTAGTGACATGTGCTCATCTGTATTTGATGTCAGCCGATGCGTAAGTTGTGCGGTGTTTTGCTTTCTTTTTCAATCGCCATAAATGTTTTTGTGTTTTTCAGTCTGGCCCAACAGCCTGTAAACTTCTTCATGAATTGTTCAAGCGACTGGAGGTGCAAACTGAGAAGTGTAATACGAAGAGGAAGCTCAAGGAGACACTTTTGAGGGTGCTACAGAGTCTGATTCAACCAAATGGTGCAATTGCAAACCAGCAAGGTCCAATTGATGCTCAAAATCAACTTATCAAAGAGCTCATTTCCTATCAATACGAAAAGACTGATTTAGGAATTGCCATGAGTATCATCGAGAGTGTCTGTAAGTTATTTATAGTGGATATTCTGAGTAACTTGTATTGATTTGGAATTTATTGATTTGTTGCAGCCTTCCTTGTGTACAATAACATCTCAAACACGGAGAAGATGTACTGTCAGAAGACAACGGACAGCAGCAAGAATTACAATGCTTTCGGGAATTTATTTGCCACTGTTCTGGGTCCGGAGAATACATCGAAGACAAAGACAGTGTCTGATAATTCGCTGCTGGTTAACCTGCTGAAATTGTCTACGATTCTCGTGCAGACAGCTCTGCCACGAGAAGGAGATGAGGCAAGTGGAAGCAGTGATGGACTGAGTGAGTCCTTCGAGAGTCAGACAGATGAGATAAAGGCGGAACAGCAGAACAATGAGCAAAACCGAGTGAAGGTGGCTTGTGTGGCTGACACTGTGCTGCAACACTATCCGACAATGACTCGTCTGCTGGGCTCTCTGTCTCACTGCTCAAGTTCCTCCTTTGCCCTCTTGGCGGCCTCAGCGATGTACTCTAGCGTAAATCCGCTGGATACCAACAGTGCTTTTGGGGAGCCTCAAACTGTGGCGGATGCGGTGTTTCAACTGCTGATGTTGCTGAGCAAGAAAGCTTCTCAGCCTGTACTGGTGGTGAAGCCAATATATCTCTTCTTAAACACAACTTTCCGGCAAGCACTGCCGAAATTGCAACTCTCTGAGCCCTTCCTGTGGTTCATCTTGCGCGTCCTGGACTCACCGGCCACTGTGGCGATTTTCACGGAGATGGGAGGCATCAAGGTGCTGTGTCACAGTCTCGTGCGGAGTAATCGTGCGATGGTGAACATGCAACCAGGACTTGTGTCCATGATTATGCAGCATCTGACGCCAAATATCGCGCCGGTGAGCAATTCGGCGGGCTCGTCTAATGGCACAAAGAAGAGCACACAGGCGAATGTGAAGTCTGTGGATGGTCTCATCAACTTTGCCCCCTTCTGCAGCATTTCTTCGGACATTTCCACTGCCCAGCAGGCGGACGTGCTCATCCAGATACCCACACCATCTCATCGACGGGCCAGAACGGCTGCCTGGAACTACATGTTCTATCCGAATGAGTCCTATGTCGACCTCACTATCACATTTCCCACGGCGGTGCTGCTGTATGAGATTCAACTACAGCCACATTTGCTCTCTCTGGCTTCCTGCCCATATGCCGTAGCAGTGGAGATAACGCGGGACAACTCCATGCCACCGATTCCCATCTCACAGCCCATGCCGACTGTGGGCTTGACATGTATCCGATTAAAGCTGAATCAGCCAGAAATTGCCACGAGCATCGTTCTGAGGCTATATCGTCCGCGCGACAGCTCAAATATCGGTCTCACACAGATCTCAATCTATGGCACAACCACATTCAGTGACATTAACAAGTCGGCAATGCTGGGCGATCAGTTGATGGATGAGGAGAACTTGGCCAAATCCAGTCTCGGTTGGTTGCGCGTTCTGGCGCGATGCTTCAGTGTGGCGACATTCAAAACCGAAGACAATATATCAAATGCTGTGATCTCAGCGGCGGCCAACTTCCCAGACTTCCTGGAGGCGTGTTGCTCACTCCTCAATGTGGCGCCACAAACGTCCACAATTGCGCTGCAGAATCTGGAGACGGTGTTACTGAAACTGGGACTGTACAACAAGGATTTGGGCCTGCGTCTCATCAACATTCTGCTGAAGAATACAGTGCCGCAATGTTTGAAGCTCTGCAATGACTCAGTGTCGGATCTGCTGTTTGATTTGTGTGTGCACGAGGATGAATTCACGAGAGATCGCGTTGAAGCTATGGTGAATTGGGTGCAGACGCTGTACGATAGCATCTACGAGAATCTCGTTCATCCCACAAATCCATACAGTGGCTTCATAAAATGCCTGGCTTCGATTCTCTGGACGGTGCACACGAAACAATTGGCGCCGAATCTGGAGGGTTTGATCACGAAGGAACTCTTCCAGTCTGTGTACAAGTGGACACTCATCCTAGACAATAGTGAACCACTTAAGAAGGCCTTTGATGCGATGCTGTGTTCAATTTGCTACATCAGACCGGAGATGTTTCCACTTCTCTTGCGGCGGATGAATGTTCTCGTGCCAAATTTGTCGACGGATCTCGAGGCGTGCATTTCGGATGATCGGAAAGACACTGGAATGACGGATGACACGAAGCAGGAGGAGTCAGACACAGCAGAGTGGTACAGTCATCTGGTGATTGAGGATATTTCGGAGTTGAATCTATCGAAGAGTCAATTGTCGACAATCGCTCTCGCTTGTCAATCACTTTTGGCCACACTTCAGCTTCTGGATTCAGGTCTTCCGCGCCTCCTAACTTCAGTGATTCTGGAGTTTTGTCACAAAATCTCAAACAACACTACTGCTGCTGCTGCTGAGGGTGAGACATCGGAGCAGCCAATGGAGACTTCATGCCTCACAGATTCGGCCAAAGTGGAGAGCACGAGGACAGAGGGCCGCACAAAGAAGTATCCAATGGTCAATGTGCCAATGTGCGCTGAGATACTCAACTTCTTCTCTGAGGTATGCACCGAGGGATGCATGAGAGATTGGCTGGGATCATTCGAGGGGTCGGTGTTCTGGAAGCCACTGCTGGACATTCTCTGCAACATTCGACCGCTGAATGCTGAAGGACAGATTGAGACGAACTTTTCCTACCTCGAGGACAGCATGATAAAGTTCCTGTCTAAGGTGACGGCGTGTCATCCGAAGAATCAAGACACGCTCACCGTGATTCTCATATCTGTGATCAGGAAGCCCACAACGGGGGGTAAGAACTTCAAGCAGAGTATCTCGGGATTCACGCGTCGACTGGTACTGCAACTGCTGCTGGAGAGTGAGAGAATTCTCATTTCGGTGCACAGCGATATGTCGCTGCATCGCTGTGAGAATGGCAACATCTTGATTAGCAATCATCCATCGAGGCGACCAAATGCTCACAATCTGCTATTCCTCATGAGCACTCACACGAAGTGCCAGGAGATCCTGGAGAGTTGCATCACTGTCTTCTCCAATATGATGCCCAACACGCAAAGCGGCGACTGGAGAGTGGTGAATGTGGAGCAGTTCAACCCCTCGACATCTCACGCGACTGGCAACGGATCGTCCAGCAGCAATGGTACGTCCACGGGCGGTCAGAACAGCTCGAGCAACGGCAAGTACTCGTCGAAGAATGACTTGTTCGAGATCGCTCTGGGGCAGGGATTGGAGGTGTTGAGTGTCGCCGCGGGAGTCACGGCCAAGGACAAGAGACTCAAGGATGTGCGGAATCAGGCTGCTGCCATGAAGGCCAAAGAGTTACTTCCACTTTTGCGTAAGTTTCCTTGTGAATCTTAGAAGAAACTCCCAGTGAATTTACATTGTCTTTCTTTCAGGACTGCGAAATGACGACTCTCTGAATACCAATCAGATGAACAATTGTGCTCAACTCATGCACACAGCATGTCCAGGAGTCATTCTCACATCTGACACGACAGTTTCGCAAATCCTCGCCATGCTTCACTCTTCTGGCGTCTCTCTCTCAACTCCCTGCATCAGTTTGAATCTTGTACAGGGTAGAAAACAACCGGACGACATCAGTGATGACAGTCTTATCAAAGCATCGGACTTTGAACCTCTTCCATCACCGCTGCAGATTTTCTCCAGCCACGGAGGATTGTCTCTACTGGCTCACTACTTACCAACGGTGTATCCAGACACACCGAAATCGAATGCTGTTCATCAGGAGAAAGACAAGAGTCCTCCGGCGAGTGAGTGGGTAAAGGTGGAAGCGAATGATGACATCTATGAGGATTTGGATGATGGAATGGCAGAGCAAGGATCAAAATTGCCTGCTATTTCATCTGTTCCGCAACACTCGTTGTCAGCATTTGGCCTCTTCCTCCGCTTACCACCTTACTCGGATGTCCTGCTGAGGGACAAGACTCGCGCTCAGTGCCTCCTTAGGCTTGTCCTCGGAGTCACGGGCGACGGGGAAGGAAGTGAGTGTGCAGAATGTCTTCAGGGCGATTAGAATGAGAGTTTATTTCTATTTCTACTTTAAACAGATGAAATCTACAGTCTGTCCTTGGCTTCTACCCTCCCGACGCTACCTTTTGAGGTGTTTCGTCAACTCCTGGACAGCTCACCGCTCACAACCGACGATGGGGTGTTGCTGAGACGTATGGTGATCGAAGTGGGTGCCATAAATCTCGTCCTGAGCTGCCTCAGTATCTTCACACATCATTCGCAAGGCGGACCGCCGCCTTGTGTGGACAGTTCAGCAGCTGTCACTGTCGCTCTACCACCACAGGATGCGCCTGCGAATCAGCAGAAGTCCTCAACGCCAACTGGCAACGCTGTCGGTGGAGAGGAGAATCTGACGTCAGATGACAAGAGTCATGTGTACTGGGCGAAGGGAACGGGATTCGGCACTGGATCCACTCAGCAATCGTGGGATGTGGAGCAGGCGCTGCTTAGGCAGAAGAACGAAGAGGAGCATGTAACTGTGCTGCTGCAAGCACTCTCGAGCTACATTAATCCGGGCGATAAGATTCCACAGGGGATCAGCGATGAGACGTCTTTTCATGAGACCGCCGACATCACGTCGGAATTGCCACCGATCTTCTTTGACCTGCTGCAGCAATCCTGCCTCATTCCAGCACTGTGTTCATACTTGAGGAATGATTCTGGTGAGATATAGAAGACTTTTTATTAATGTTTTGGGAATGAAGGCAGTAATTTGTGCTTGTCTCTTGCAGTTTTGGACATTACTCGCCATATTCCACTATACAGGGCTATTTTGCAACTTTTGAGAGCTATTGCTTTATCCAATCAACTTGTTACGCTTCTCCTGCCACAGCACACTGAGAATGGGAACAGTATCTCCATCGCTATGCTCCTGTCCAACATGAAGAGTTGCGTGGACACTTATGCCAGTCGGCTCAAGTGAGTACAAAATTTTGTATGTGAAAGAAGTTGAATGATTCTAACACGATTCTTGTGATACACAGATTCAATAAGAAAACGAGTGCCAAGGGACGGGTTTTCGTGTCTTGTGTCGATGAGGGTGATGACGAGGGACTTGCACTGCTGATTCCTGATATTCAGGACACAACTTTTCTCGTTTTGAGAGCCACAAATGCCGATAAATTGCCCTCCGCCATCGATAACTGTCCGAGTCCTGAGCGTCCAATGGCACGATCAATTGAACAGCGCTACATGGAGATTATGAAGAAGCTGCAATTTGGTGAGTTGTGGTGTAACAAAAAGGGTGGATGATGCAACAGGATGCTGATTTTATTTACTGCTCTTTGTAGACACCTTCGAAATGATCACGGACACGGAGAATGGATATCGTTTTGTGGTATCTTATCACTTTGAGAGCAACATGCGAATGTCTGGCGATCGATATCATCCTGTTCGCGTGAAGCGTCTCGCTCAGGAGACTGTGACGCTGTCAACGAGCCTCCCTCTGTCGTACAGCAGCTCTGTGTTCGTACGCTGTGACACTGATCGCCTGGACGTGATGAAGGTGCTGATCACTGGTCCAGCAGACACGCCATATGCCAACGGATGCTTCGAGTTTGACGTGTTTTTCCCACCGGATTACCCGAATTCGCCCATGATGATTAACCTGGAGACAACGGGTCGCCACACAGTGAGATTCAATCCCAATTTATACAATGACGGGAAAGTGTGTCTGTCTGTTCTCAACACTTGGCATGGACGACCAGAGGAGAAGTGGAATGCTCAGACGTCCAGTTTTCTGCAGGTGAGAAGAATCTCTCTGGATTAGGTTGGAAGTGGGGGATAACTAATGACTTTCCTTCCTTCCTTTAGGTTCTCGTGTCGATTCAGAGTCTGATCCTCGTGCCAGAGCCATATTTCAATGAGCCTGGCTTCGAGAGGAGTCGCGGAACGCCGAGTGGAACACACAGCTCGCGTGAATACAACAGCAACATCTACCAAGCGTGTGTTCGGTGGGCGATGCTGGAGCAGATCAAGAATCCCAATCCTTGCTTCAAAGAGGTGAGAAGAATCGAGCTATCCTCATTGATTGATGTCAGACTGACCAGAGCGATCGTCTTTCAGGTTATTCACATGCACTTCTGGCTGAAGAGGAACGAGATTTGCACGCAAATCGAGAAGTGGATCGAGGAGTTGTCGAAGCCACAGTATTCTGAGCGCAATGGTCGCAACATATCGTTCAATTCGATGGTGTTGAGGCGTCAGTATCGGCACTTGCGCGAGGAACTGGCCAATCTGCCGACGCCCGAGGGCCTGGAGGATCTCGAGCGGCCCTTCATGGCCACCATGCCCACGAGTCCGAAGGCCAGCGAGTGCGGCACGAGCGGCTGCACGTCTTCAGCGTCACCCACGCAAATCCCGCCGCTGCAGGCGATGGAGACGGCCGTGTCCAGCGACACGACACTGTCGGATCTCATGGATGAGGATGAAAATCCGGGACTGGGGTAAATGTTGATTTTATTATTGCGGTGAGTGATAAATTATTCTTTTTGTTGAAATCACGATGAGAGAGAAAAACTGATTTAGAGAATGTGAAGGAGAAAAATTGCTGGGGTGGAAAACCAAAGTTCATTCATATATTTTGATAAATATCTCTTCGTTTCTCCATTTCACATGTTTTTTTTTGTATTTAATTCATCAACTATATAATTATCCAATTGTGAAACTGACGAAAGATTGACATTATGAGATAGATAGAAATGGTGAAGAGGATCCATTAAAGGCAGTGTTGAAGCATTTAGGGAGTTTTTCTTCTTTCAATGTAATTTTCTAAAAGGATTACATATAATTCAACTAATAACAAATTGGCGAGATGATATCAAAAAGGGAAATAAAACGGATCACAGTAAACCAAAGCTCCAAATGCATCGCTGATCACTCAATTGTAACGTAAACATTATTATGTCGTCATTGTTTTCTTGCACTCTTTGTTTCTTGTTTTTGCCCTTCTTTTATTATAATCGCGCTTTAGCTAATGGTAAAATGAGATGAGAATTACTTTAATATGAATAAAATGGAAGAGAAAAATTTAGTTTGAAATGAATTTTTGATGAAAATGCATAAATATCAATAATTTATTTTAGAGTTGATGATAATTTTTTTGTGATGATGAAACTGATAAAATAATAATAATAATAATAATAATAATAATAATAATAATAGTGAGTGTGTAACGACTGTGAAGACATTATTAAATATTTCAACAGAAAAGATGAAAGAGAAAACACAAGAAATGAGAGATATTTGGAGTTTTTCGTCCCTCTTTTCATCATTCTTACTTTGTCTACCGAACACATAAAATTCAATCATTTTATCTCTTCTTAACCTAATGTCTGGTTTCGTGTTGAGGATTCTGGAGGTTTTGTGACTCTTTACATTCTGGCCACGGTGATTTTCTGCCTGGGAACTCTGTGAAAGCAAGCAGGAAAAGAGATTATTGAGCAATCTTCAGGATATTTGATGGTTGAAAAATTCACCTTATATGAATAACTCGACGACGATCGCTCGGATGAATGAGATCCAGAGTTTGACTCCATTCGAACATCTTGAACTCCTGCTTCCTCTTCTTGCGGTCGAAGTAGGAGATCACACAGCTGGCGGGGATCCAAAAGAGGGCAGTCAGGAGAACAACAGTCACTGTGAAGACAAAAAACATTTATCAATTCCAATCCTTCGCCTTGCTGTGCTTCAATCGCTTTGATACTCACTGACAATGTTGTCGCGCAGGAAGCGCAGGACTTTGTTGATATTGATCTCCTCGATAATGTCCCAGAAGCGCTCCACGACGTCCTGAATGGTCTTCTCGCAGATGCCCTTGTTGCAGAAGCCCTGAATGCACGGCGTGCCGTCGGGCAGGACGTCCGGCGGTTCCACGGGAAAGCACGTCTCGTTGATGCTCATGCGGCAACATCGCTTGCACGCGTCCTGGATGATGTCGCACATGCAGCTCTGCAGACCCTGCGTCTCGCAGTACGGCACGCATTTGCCGCCGCGACACTGGCCGCGCTCCTGGCAGATCGTGCCGTCCGCCATGGGCGGCGACTTGGGGCACTCGGCGTGATTGCCCGTGCAGCGCGCCTCCTGCTCGCATGTGGAGTACTGCGCATCGCGGCACTTCATGCCCACGGGCATGTACTGACAGTTCTGGCAGCACGGCGAGTTCTTGTCGCTGCACACGGCGCCCTGATTGCGCCGCAGTTTGCAGTTCTTGTCGCAGCAGCCGTCATTGTCCTCCGTTCCAAGCAGCCCGGCATCGCACTGTTCGTCGCCCTCGACGCGCAGATTACCACAGAAGGACTCCTCGGGCTCGCTGAAGCACCGCCCGGACTTGGCCTGCAGGACCTTGCGGATGGAGCGCAGTGAGCAGGGCGAAAACTTCTTGTTGTTCACATCGTAGCCGGACACAGAGTAGGTGTACATAAGGAAGCTGCCGCCCTGCGAGGCGCTGGGCGAGCACTCGGGGATGTCCGGATCGTGCTCAGAGCCCCAATTGTGGCCGAACTCATGCGCTGTCACCAGATCAGCCTCACGCGTGATCACGCGCTGGCCATAGTGATTCCGGGAGCTGCTCAGGCCCGAGTTGAGGTACAGGGTGTAGCCGTTCTTGAAGTATTCTGGCGGGAAGAATAGAAGTTAAAGATAAATTATAGGAATAGATTGATAGAGAGACTGTGCAGAGGCACCTGGAGTGCAAATTCCACCCACGGAATTCCTCCTGGGCGAGCCAACATAGGCCAAGCCCAGGATTCCGCCCTCAAACTTGAGATCCGTGAACAAGTGTGCAAGGCAGAAATCCTTATGACTGTACTCTCGCGAGAAGACCTTCTCAAGTCCAGCAGCATTGATAGAGAGTTAATATTAAGTCAGAGGCTTGAGGACTCCTAAACAAGAAGAGGAGGATTACCTCGAGCAGATTCCTCACGTCCCACTTCTCCCTTATCATATTGTAGTGCGCTTCTCCTCCGCGTACTCTCGTCGGCTCCGAGTGAACTACGATCTTCTTGATGACGAAACCCATTCCCTTGAAACCTTCCTGGTCAGATCTGTCCTGCCACACGGTATCATTGTAGATCTTGTGCACACGATCGATGAGGCTGATCTGCGAATTCCCAGAGAAGACCATTGAGAGGATGAATATTGGGAAAGGTTGGGCTTCTTACCAGATAGTTAATGGTGGTCTTCGTGTTGCTTCCGCCCATTTCCTGGAAGAAGCGATAGTCCGCCACCAGCAGGAGAGGGCAGCGCGTCTTCGTCGGTGTGTACTCATACTGATCAGCCTGTCTCTTCTCGCGTGTCCGATGACTCTCCTCCGTCCACACCGACTCGGCATTTTCCTGCTCCTCCTCCGCCTCCAATTCCGGGCCCTCTTTGACGTAGCCACAAGTGATGGGCGCCCCCATTTCGCCAGGCGCGTGAGCCTCATCCCAGCTCAGCTTCACGTCGGACGCCTTGTAGGCGATCATGTGGCTGTCCTTCTCCGGCAGGTGCCGCCACGACGGCTCGATGTGGTACGTCTCGTCCGGGAGCACCACAGAGGCCGTCATCACGCCATTGTCCGCAATGTGCGCCCTCACGGAGGACTGCGCCTCGCCGAATACGCGTCCCGAGTAGAAGGAATCGTGGTCCATGTGCACGATCTTCTCCTGTCCATCGCCATCGATGGCGTACGCGCGGAAATTGCTGTGCAGCACTTCCTTGTGTGGGTGCAGAATCAGTCGGAAGTTCCTGCCCAGCGCCTTGAACTCCACCTCCTTTATCGTGTTGAAGGGATGACTGCTGGGCTTCGTGCCCCTCTTCACGATCCTGTGGCTCAAGTCATCTACATGCAGTGTCTCGAAATAGTGCAGGTTCTTGTGTAATTGAGCTGGAAGGCAGAAGAAAAAAAAACGTAAGGACGAAATGTCATGGAGAATTTGTAAACATGGTGAGAAAAATCCTCCTCACCGCAAATATGGAGGGGAAAAGTGATGAAAATCAGCAGCAAAACAGAGCTGGTTGTCTGATATTTCATTATTGCACAGTTCTGTCCACTTTGACCTGGGATTTACTGCATATTTTCACGGAAAAATAAAGACAAATGTTCTTTGAGAAAATTTTCACTCCAGCCAGGACACTCTTTTGACATTTAGGCGCCTGCGCGCCATCTACTTTTGCTCCTTGGAAGCTGATTTAAGGTTTATGTAGGACATGAAATTTATTCACCAAAATTTCAAGTCCACTTTGTACACGTATAAAATCGTCTGCAGGGAGCAGAGAATCAGCATGTAGACCGCCACAATGGCCAGGCTGGTCACAGTATCCAGGAGCATTGTCTGCACGGTCAGATTTATGGCTCCTGTGAGCAGATTCGCCACCAGAAAGAAGATCAGTCCGTTGTGGTTGATGGCATTGAGGATTACGGGCCCGTACTGATGGACGCACTCGTCGGATTTGGTCTTGTCGAACTTCAGGAAGTAGTAGCCCAATTCCAGAAGCATTAGTAGAGCCACCATAGTCGTGCCGATAGCCAGGATCCAGATGACGTAGCCCATGTTGGCCAGACGGCGAGAGATGCCGAACATCTCCTCGGCGATGTAAACCATCTTCCAGAGACACAGCGCGATCAGTCCCATCTTCGCGGTCTGCAGCAGGAATTCCCGCCATTTTATCACTGATTCTGACCAGCGAAGACTGTTCTGGACGTACATGGAGGCGATGTAGATGGCCAAGTAGCCGGGCAGGGAGAAAATGCCCTCCTTGTTGGCCTCGAAGAGGTTCTCTCGACTGTCGGAGAGGACGAACGAGGCCAAGCCCAGTTGCAGGCACATCTCATGGATTGTAACGATAACAATGGCCACGAACTTCAGGTGATCTCTGTCTCTGAGCGGCGCCACGAGAAGCGCTCCCAGGAATGCCGTGACAGCCAGAGTGATGAAGAAGTTCCAGTGGACTCCGTACTCGGAAATGTGCTCGTGATAGTTGGTTGCAGACACGCTGACACTCCTGCCAACGCCCAGGACAATCAGTGGTGAGATGGAGATGGCCAGATTCTTGACCTTCTTCCAAGAGAGCGGCTCTTCAGTCCGTCTCCCGTCGCGTGACACTATGCCATTGGCGAAGACGTATAATCCCACTCCGACGTCCATCAGAGACACGCCGTAAGTCTCCGTCTTGGCGAATCTCCTGGGAAAGCACTGAAAATCCACCGCCAGAATGCACACCACACTGATGAGATTGATCAGAGCTCTGGCCATGCTGACGAACTGCGGCTTTGTCGTGGGGATTTGGATGAATGGCGCTTCGTGCAGGACAAATCTCAGCTGACCGGCTGCCGCCGCCACAGAAGCAGTGAGAAGTGTCAGGACAATGCCCGGAATGTACTCATTCGCCACTGTTACGTTCGCCACAATGAACAGCACGATCAGGAGGAATTCCAGCAGGAATCGCAACGGGATACTCACAATATTCGCCACCAACACCAGGTTTATGCAGTGGAAAATTGTGAAATATGGGGCAACAATCACGCCAAACACCTCAACAATTGACGATCCATTGTTGTTCTGCATGAAACTCTCGTGGAATTTCTTGTAAGTCCCCGCGTCCATCGTTTTTTCTGCCATTTTTCACACTCTTTCGCGCAAACTGAGCATTTTCTGACTAGATTTCGCTGAGATAAACACTCTTTAAAGAGCCAAAACATATGTTTTTGACATTTCGCAAAGTAAACACACCTTTGAGTGGTGGCTCATAGAGGCGCTGATTTCGGATATGCCTCGGGTGTTGTTTTTTTTCCAACGAAGCCGACACAGGGCGTTTCGTGGATCTTGGCAATTTCTCTAAAGTCAATAACTCGTGAATATTGTCAAGTAGAGAGTGAGTGAAATTGCCACAATCAATTAATCAATCATTCTGGTGTTTAATGACTTTGTAATTAATCTTTTTACAGGCTGTCGAGCATGACTATCATGAAGGATGAGGCTTCTTGACCACCTTGTGGTTGGTGCGGTTCTCGCGCGAGCTTTAGTTGACACTTGGAACCAAAATAAACCATTTGAAGTCACATAAATTGCATTCCACGGCCAAGGGTGAGCGCAAATTATGTTTATCGCGATCTAATTGATCCATCTGTTCGGTCGATTGCACAATCAAGGTGACTGTGTGCTTGCAATGAGCCACGACGTGCTGGTGCGACCTCCGCGCTCGCGATCCGCCGTTCCGGGAGGCTCGGGGGGCTCTGCCGAGGCTGCTGGTGCTCGGGATGGCTCCAAATCCACCACCAGCACTCCGCGGAAGACGCAGTCGTCGCGCTTCATGGCCGCCTTTACGCAGTTCTACGGGCCGGACGAGGATCCTTCGACGAGTCCTCCGGAAGAGGTGGGAACGGAATTGCGCGGCAAAGTGGAGTCCAAGCTAATGTCGATGTGGAACAATGTGAAGTACGGCTGGAGTGGGAAGATGAAGGCCAACTTCTCCAAGGAGCAGCCCATCTGGTTGCTGGGCAGATGCTATCACAGAAAGTTCTCTCCGCCGCCGTCGATGGAGTCGTCAATGGAGCTCAATCCCATGACGATGGAGGCGCGCTTTGTGGACGGAGAGCCGCTGGATGATGTGGTGGAGGGTTTAGATCCGGACGCTGTCCACGAGCTGGGCACAGACGTGGTGGACGAGCAGAACGGCGACACGTCGTGGGAAGAGGAGGGCGTCGATGCGTTCAAGAGAGACTTCATGAGTCGCTTGTGGATGACTTATCGCCGGGAATTCCCAGCCATGAATGGTGGACAGTTCACGTCGGATTGCGGCTGGGGCTGTATGCTGCGCAGTGGCCAGATGATGCTCGCGCAGGGCCTGATTTGCCACTTCCTGGGTAGAAATTGGCGCTGGGATCCAGACACGCAACTCTACACCACGCAAGAAGACAACCTGCACAGGAAGATCATCCGATGGTTTGGCGACATCAGCTCGCGCAACAGCCCTTTCTCCATCCACACGCTCGTGACGCTGGGCCAGGAGGCGGGCAAGAAGCCCGGCGACTGGTACGCTCCCGGCGCCACTGTTCAACTCCTGCGCCAAGCCATGCTGATCGCCAGTCAGGAGAACGTCGATCTGGACGGCATCAACATTCACGTGGCACAGGATTGCACTGTATACATCCAGGACATCCTCGACGAGTGCCTCATTCCTGCCCACGACAAATCCCTGGCGCCGTGGCACCGCAAGCGATCGCCCACGCGAGGTGAGTCTCTTTAGTACTTTTTTGAGCCATTAATTATCGGCAATTGAGTGGGAAATGAGCCTTCCACGAAATTCCGCGTAAGCCCTGAATTGCGCTGATAAAAGCGTTTATCGTGAGACGCGCTCAATGGAAATTTCGCCATTCTGACACTTCTTTCACGCTCGCCTCGCGGGTGTGCTAAATATTTACACACTAAGCACAATTATTAATATTATCTCGTGCAGCACTATAAATAGGAATTTCGAGTGTAATTGTGATTTACGTGCGTCAGAAGTGCTTTAAGATTGAGTCATCTTTTGGCATATTTTTAAAGGACATGCCAAGCATTTATTACTATCAAGCTTGTAATAAATCAAGAAGACTTATTAATGTATTAAGCGACTTACATATGTGATATCTTTTTAACTTTTCCAGAGGGAGAACAGCCTGAAAATGCGGAGAACTTTCACTGGAAGGCCCTAATCTTGCTGGTTCCGCTGCGATTGGGAGCCGAGAAGATGAATCAAATCTATGGGAACAGCTTAAAGGCACTCCTGAGCCTCGAGGCATCAATTGGAATCATTGGCGGCCGACCGAAGCATTCACTGTACTTCGTTGGGCATCAGGAAGACAGTCAGTGTCCCAAATGGAATCAATAGCAAGACCAATAGGCGCTAATTGGATTTCAATTGCTCATTGCAGAACTGATCTACTTGGATCCTCACTATTGCCAAGAGATGGTGGATGTGAATCAGGAGAACTTCCTCGTGAACAGCTTCCACTGCAAGTCGCCGCGAAAGATGAAGATCTCCAAGATGGATCCCAGCTGCTGTGTTGGATTCTACTGCCCAACGAAGAGCGACTTCGACCACTTCATCGCCTCCGTTCAGCCCTATTTGCTGCCTCTGCGATCGCCACAGACCAGAGACAGGAATCACGCGGGCGCGCCAGCGACTGAAGTCAACTATCCCATGTTTGTGTTCTGTCGCGGAAAGCGATGCGACCAAGAAGTGGATCTTTCGCATCTCGTCTACAGCCAGCAGAACTCCATGAGCTCCGCGGCCTCGGGCACGGTTACGGATGACGAGGGCGATGAGGATGAGTTTGTCATACTCTGAAATCCATTCCTGCACACCATTAATTTATTCCTCTGGCAAAACCTCATCCCCATCGATGCGCAGCGTGAAGTGTCTGTAAATACTGTGCAAAGCCACGTGGATCTGTGCATTTTGTGGGCCCAAAGCCCTGTCGAAGTCCCCAACAAATTTAATTTGTGATTTACGTGCTTATTTAGTGAATTGTACTTATATTTCTCAATATATGCATCGACCTGAAAATTTGTCTTTTGGCGGGAAGGCAAAGAGAGTGTCTGAGATATGCGTTATAATTGTGTCTAAGCTGTCTCCAGTGCGAATGAGCATAGATGCAAACCTGTATAAGCGATGACGGGGTAAAATGAGTAAAATGTTAGTTTCAAATTGTCGTTTCTTATCAGACAGAAATGGTCAACAATCACTCGAATTGTTCTACAAAGCTGTCGAATAATTAATTATCATTCATTTAAGGCTTGTTTTATGCAAAATGAACCAAGATTGGGGAAGATACTTCATGATAAAAATTGTGTTGATTCATGCGGTTCGGCTCGGCCGTCGATGAGGCGTTCGCCGCTCGTCGAAGACTGGTCTAAAGGGCTCGGCGCACTCCTCCGACTGTCAGTGGTTGTCAGAAGTTGTTATGGCTGCTTCTGTGTAATTTGTTGTTTTGTCGTGACTCTCTTCTTTTAAATGTTTCCTAACAATATTCCAGCAAATTAACACTCCAGCCGCTGTGTACACATTCACCACTAATCACTGATCACTCGTCACGTGTGCTTTTGGCCAGGAATCCGCCATGAACGGGCTGAGGTAAGACGCCACAGTCGAGGCTTCTCGCCTTGTCTTCACTTTCTCCGCCTTTTCAGCTTCAGCGAATTGTGCTGCCTCTTCTGCTGTCCACCCTTTCCGGGCCGGATAGCCGCCAAGTTGGCCTTCCTGCCGCCGGAGCCCACGTACAAGTTTGTGCCGTGCGACGAGTCCAACACAAAGTACAGGATCCAGTACCTGGACAGGGCGGAGTGGCAGTTCGGGGAGCGCGACAAGGAGAGCGTGGAGAGCTTCTTCACGCGCACGAGTCGAGGGAATCTCATCCCGTGCATCTTCATCAAGTGCTGCACGAACGCCAAGTACACGCTGCTGTTCTCGCACGGCAACGCCGTGGATCTGGGCCAGATGAGCAGCTTCTACATGGGCCTGGGCACGCGCATCAACTGCAACATCTTCAGCTACGACTACTCGGGCTACGGCATCAGCGCCGGCAGGCCCAGCGAGAAGAACCTCTACGCGGACATCGAGGCTGCCTGGCACGCCCTCCGCAACCGCTACGGCATCAGTCCGGAGAATGTGATCCTGTACGGCCAGAGCATCGGCACCGTGCCCACGATCGACATCGCCACCAAGTACGAGGTCGGCGCCGTGATCCTGCACTCGCCGCTCATGTCGGGCATGCGAGTGGCGTTCCCCAACACGAAGCGCACGTGGTTCTTCGATGTGTTCCCGAGCATTGACAAGGTGTCGAAGGTGCAGTCGCCGGTGCTGGTGATCCACGGCACGGAGGACGAGGTGATCGACTTCAGCCACGGCCTGGGCATCTACGAGAAGTGCGCCAAGGCGGTGGAGCCGCTGTGGGTGGAGGGCGCCGGCCACAACGACGTGGAGCTGTACAATCAGTACCTCGACCGACTGAAGAAGTTCGTGTCGGTGGAGCTCGCTAACTGACAATCACTCCTCGCTCCTGGTCACGGCGCCAGGAGCCCAAAGAAAGCCGCCAAAGCCACCGACAATGCAGCTGGTGAGTCTCCAAATGGGTTAATCTTACGCATTCGTGCGCCTGACTTTCTATTTCTCTGTCAAAGTGCCTCATTATGAATTCGCCTGCTCGCAATTTCCATTTTGACTCTCTGTCTTCTTCACCTGATTATGTGTGTCTTTCACGGATGGTCGAAATTCCCGCTCTCATGGATATTATCTCACTCTTTCTCTCTCTCTGTGCGTAGAATCAACAGTGTTTTATCATACGCAAAATAATTCCCAATGCGAGTGACTCTTGAATAATTCAATAAAGCCACGCACATAATAAACCACGATGGAGTTCAAAAATCCAAATCGAAGAAAAACACACAGAATTCATCCAAGTGGAAAATCTCTTGCACTTACTTTTATGAGTTACTCAACTTCTTTTCCCTCTCGCTGTGCCGTTACAAAATACATATATGAATTCTCTCGTCCGCACGAGGGCAAGGAAAAAAGAGTGAAAATATCGAGGGAAATACCATAAAAATTGCTGTGCTGAAAGTGCACGGAAATTTCTCAATATGTATAAAACAACACTTTTGAAACATTCATTCCCTCTGCCATTGACGTTTTTCTTCTGTGGGGCCGCAGAATCAATATGCAGCCTCGCGTCATGTGCTAATTGCTGCACCAATTTGCAGGCGGAAATTCACTTAGGTCAGAGAGAAGATTGCTGGTGATTCAATTTCTCACCAGGCGAAGAGGGTGGAGCTTGTAAAGTACACCGAGTTCAATTGAATCAAACGAGAGAGCATTTGAGAAGGATTTATTGGCGGTGGAAAGAGCGAACGCATGTCAAAGGAGAAGGAAAATTGTGTTTTCCAATGCTGAAATTGCATCAATCAATCGCAAGAATTCAATTTGGTGAATTTCTCACATATCCCATAAAATGACGCTGAAGCACAAGAGAGTTTGGGCTGCAATAAAAGCGTGCGTGACACAATTTATCCCTTTACATGTTCACCGTTTTTCATTGGTCATAAAAAATGAGGCGGTGAAATTTGATGTTTTGATTTTGAGCACGATAACCGGGCTCGATAATCGTCTTAATTTCAGCTGTATGAGTTACAATTCAGTGGTAATTATGTGTTATTAGTGGAGGAGGATATTGTGAGAATTGGGCACATGTCTGAGTCAGCTGAAGTCAAAAAGATGAGGTGATAAGTCTCACTTATTTAACTCATTGAAGCCAATCGCATTTTGTAAAATTACCCACACAAAAATGAAGGCTAATTTCTTCGTAATTCAGTTTCTGGGAAAATAACTACATTTATAATTAATCATAGTCAAAATGATATAAATATTAATAATGGAAAACATTTATTGATTTTCCTATTCAATATTCAATTATTGATTCACATGAATACTACTTCTAAAGGTTAGTTTTTGAATAAATGCGTGAAAATGGCGAAGGAAAAGTTGCTACTCTCTGAACAACATCTGATTTGAACACACAATCTTTTTATCAAGCCAATATCAATCGATCTTTATGCTTTATAATCCGTACAAACTCTCCACATCTGCACTTCTTTTCGACTACTACTTTCATTAAAGTTTTTCTTGTTGATGAATTCCGGAATTTCCAACAAACCTCCTTGAACTGTACTTTAATTGAGGAGTTGATTAAGTGAATCATCGCTCTTCTTCTCCACAGATGACGTCAACAATTCGAGTGTAAGTTCCGTGACAACGAGTTCGGTAAATGAGAAGCTTCTCTAGCATCCGGGGCCGGGCTCCAGTGGCGCCCCGTGTCACGCCAAGGTCGCCCGGAGCCAACTCCTCACCAAGAAGTCCCCCAAGTCTCCCAAGCAGTTTTGCCTGTGCGGCGACAAGAGCGTCGCCGCCAAGCTGTCCGCCCCGCCAGAGAATCTTCCGCCTCCGCCGCCGCCGGCCAAGATGCCCGAGAAGCCGGTGAAGTGTACGTGTCCCAGCAAACGCCAGTCGCTCGTGGATGCGGTGTCGCCCAGCAAGATCAGCACGGAGAAGCGCCAGAGTGTTCCATCGCCCTTTCATCAGAGCCTCGTGGCCGACGCCTCGCCCAAATGCACGTGTTCAGTGGGCCAGAAGGCGCCCAAGCCTCGTCCGGTGCCGCTGAAGAGGGACATGGCCACGAGTCCCAATTTGGCGCCCAAGAGTCCCACGATAAAGGTCTCCTCAGAGGAGGATGAGAAGGAAGTGGAACTCCAGGCACCTGAGATATGTGCCGTGACACTGCCAAGCCCACGGGCTGAGAGAGCCACCAGGAACGCCGCCACGAGTCCCAGACTCGAGGTGAAGCACAAGGCGAGTCCACTGAGAGAGAATCCGAATCGCGTGCTGGAGAAGTCCAACAGCTTGGGCGAAAAGAAGCCTTCGAGAGTGCTGAGGAACACGAGGAGTCTCTCTCCGCGGCCACCAGTGAAGCACCAACACGCCATCACGGTGTCGGATGAGAACGATGTGGTGTCGGTGAAGCTGTCGCCTAATGACGAGTTTGTGGAGGAGGAGGCGAAGAAGCTGGCCGATCCGTCGCCCAAGAAGAAGACCAGAAGTGCTCACGCGTCGCCGAATCTCTCTGATTGCGGCGGCTTGGCGTATGAGGATCGCTTCGCCAACAATCGCTCAACAGGATGCCTGGTGTATGTGCCATCGGATCCGTGGCTTCGGCTGTCGGACGAGGAGGAGGCGATGGACACTTTGCGCCAGGGCAGGAAGAAGAAGAAGGACAAGAAGCGCGTGGAGAAGGCTCACAGTCGTCCCAACATCCTGGAAGGCGATGATCCGTGGGTGTGGAAGGGCCCAAGTGATGCTCAGGCGAGGAAGAATGCCTATCGCCAGAGCAAGTCTCTCCAATCCACGGCCGGAGAGTATTCCTCCCTGAAGCATTTACCCGGGAAGAAGGACGCGTCGCTTCGTCCGAAGTTGCAGCGCTCAAAGTCTCCCGTTCTCATGATGAATGATCTTGAGGAGACTCCTGTCCAGAAGAGCGCCAATCTCAGCGTGGCCAATCATCTTCTGCCGCGCCACAGCTTCTCCACGACACCGACGCAGCGCGACGACGAGCTGCAGCTGAACATCCGGCGACTCAGCGAACAGATGCGACACTCACCAGCCTACAACACTGCCTATGACGGACGCGAGAAGATTCTCGATCGACGGCGGACGGCGTCACCTCTGCCACCGCCGCCCCCGCCCCCGGCGGACCCGCTCCTCGAGACGACCTGCTAAGGAGCGCGCCAATGTGATTTCCGGGGAGACACGCACTAACGATTTAAGGTAAAGGAATCATGATTTAGCTAAAAGATTGTCGACTGTTTAAGAAAATTGCATTTAAGAGTTAAGCGTAGGTTTATTGACATTTTCTCCTCCCATGAACTGAATTCTCCGTGCGCCACGTCCGGAAGGAAATTGTGTATAGAAATTTTCCCCTTAGTTAGGCCCAGTCCAGTGTGTTCCTTATATACTCTCTGTGGCTCTTTTCGTCCACAGCTTGTGGTCAAACTGTTAGATGCACACTCTTTTGCTATTTCTTGAGGCGATGAAGTGATGAGAAATTTGAGAGCACGAAAATTCTGTAGAACTTAGAAATATTCAGTATTAGAATCTCAATTTAGTATTATTAATCATTAATTGTCGTTAGCAAAAAGAAACGTGCACAAAATTAGAGTAGATATAATGCAGTGAAAAAACTAAGTTTACAGTATTAAATGCCATGAATTAAGGTCTAGACAGAATACACTTTGCTCTTAAGAGTTGTATTATGTTCACTTCTCACACAGCTTAACGAATTCTGCTGACTTAAAGTGTCTTTTTTAATCAAAATTCCATTAATTGATGCACTTAATATTTGCACATCTTTTGAACTTGTTAAAAATTGTGGATTCTGTCTAAACCTTTAATCAATTACAGTGCAATATTTAGTTAGCTTTTCCAGTAAATCAGGCATAGAAAAGATGGATTAATGCAGCTTTTTGGCCTAGAAAGAGCACATAGAAGAGGAAATCCTCAAGTGTGCAATTAGCGTTATTGCGAGTGTTGTGCATCTAACATTTGCACCATGTTCTGTTCTTCTATCGTAATTCTATTTCTTTGGTGAAACATTTTTTATCGGTAATCATAAGCGTCTAATTGTGAGTTGAAGGAGGGTTTTTTTCAATGGGATTGACATTCTGTATGGGAATGAATTAAATATGATTATAAGAGAAACGGTTGCCAATATAGAGAATGTGTCTCGATTCAAAGAGTAAATTGAGCCATTCTCACAACATAGTGAAGTGCGAGAGACGGAAAAAATAGCAAGGAAGCATAACAAAATGATTAAGCACAAATTATATTGAGAATAATATACATATAACAATTTTTTGGTATTCTTGTATTATCTAAATTGCAGCGCATTGAGTGAGTAAACAATCATTGAAAGGAAAATATCTCAAATTAGCTGTATATTTTATCGAAAGAATATTATTCTAATGATGTAAGATTGCTAGTTCAACAATGAGTAAGATATCTTAAGAAGTAATAATCAAAAAAAGGATATATTTCGTTTAAAATGGACTTTTTTCAATGTGTGTGATGAGACCAAAATGGAGAATTAAATGGACGGCGTAATATTTCTAAAATAGCTAATAAAATACAATATTATTAAATGGGAAAATATTGAGAAAAAAAAATTGTCATTCATGTGGTTTTTAAAGTTCTTCTTTATTTTCCAAGATAAATTGATACATATAAAAGATCTTTTCTACTTAGAGATTGATTATGGGAAAGAATTGAGCATCTCTTATTAATCGAATGCTAAGAAATTATTTCATGATGGTTCTAGGAGTAAGTTTTTTGACGGATCGGCTGAAGAAGAGGTGTAGTTGAATGATGCGAGCGAAGAAGAGGGCAAAAAACTAACATATTCAATTGTAACAGTTTCATGTTATATTAACGATCATTAAACAATAAAAGGTGAAAAAATCTTGAGATCTCGCTGGGTTGCCAACATCTGGAGAGCCGAAGAAGTGTGTGCAATGTTTGGAGTTGAAGTGCTGCGAGCGAGAGAGGGAACAGTCTCAGCCTCACTTCAGTTCATGCGAGTGAGTCGAGCAGTGAGGATCGCTGAGCGCGATCGCTTGTCACGTATCGATCAGTGCGATTTACTTCGATTTGGAGAATATGTGCTCAAGTGCAACTTTTACAGTGACGTGATCGTGAGTTGAGAAAGGAGAGCGAAAAAAGGGGGAAGGAATTTGTGGCATTAGTGATCGCGACGCGCTTTTGTGTGTAAATATTTACAAAATTGCAGTGTGTGAATAATAATTTTTGCGAGAGAAACATTGACTGGATTATGGAGAATGATCAGTCAGAATGGAACGGATCTACAGGGCATGCCAATTTGTGCTGATCTCTCTCCTCATTTCTCGCCACATTCGTGCAACAGCGGCCAATTTGACGCTCGCCTATCAAGCAGGTAGAGAAAAAGTCGATGCTAAAGGTGAAGAGGAAAGTCCCTTCTAGGAATGTAAAACTCTCCTTTGTCAGTGGTCTCTCTCTCTCTCTGTGTCTTTTTTGCGAAATATTGCTGAGGAATTGCGATCGTGAAATGCGATATTTGTGTGCAGGTCAACATCAGAGTTGTATTGTCCATTTAAGGCATTTTCACTACACACAGGCTCTCCTTATGAGCGACAAAATTGAAAAATACCTGTCTGCACCTAATTAAAGTCGCTGCGCGAGAAATTCACATGGAAATCATCCCTGTTTTGGGGCGCGCACATGATCGCTGTGAATTTGAACACATCCGAAGGAGATCACGCAATGCAAAAATCCGCATTAGAAAATTGAAAGTGCATTTTATTTTATGTGTATGAAATTGAAGCGAGAGCGCGTCAATGAATTTCTCTCGCTCACTCGCGGAGTCTGCAATTAAAATCTCTCATGTTGGCAGTGTTGCGCAAGAGATCATTTCATAGAAGTCTCGTTCTTTGTAAGCGCTCTCTTTTCGCGATCAGTGCGATCACTTGAAGTCTCTCTTGCGATGGTGGAGAATTGGTAGATAAAAGAGACGCCTTGTTTGATCAATTTAGCATTCTACGGCACACAATTTTCATAAATGATCGTGATCGTGAGCAGCAGAATTGACCTATTCACCTTCCTCAGAGCCACATGACATCACAATATGTGGCTCTGCGCGACAGGCGAGCCGTAATGCGATCACTGGTGATCTTCTGGCTGGAGTTGCCAAAGATCACCCACTCGTGGTGGAATTTTGAGAGGGAGAAAAAATGCGGATAATCACTCGTGTGACTTGTTCATGTAACGTATTTATTTAAATCGTCTTGTAATCTCTTGAATTCACCCACGAAGATCACGAAAAAAGTCCATCTTTCACCGCATAAAATAACATCTTCAGAGAGTGTTAATCTCTGGGTGATTGCGTTAGGCTTCGCAGAGGCGGTAAATTTCGGTATTTTCGGAAATTTGCCATTCAAAGTTATGCAAGACACAAATAAGTATTATTCCTAAGACAAGAGATTGGAGAAATAAATCCGAGCAGTGTTCCAGCAAATGTCCATCGGCAAAGTGATAGATGAAACTTTGAAGCCTCTCTTGGGCCGCCTAATTGGCAGGAGAGAAAAGAAAAACACTTAATACGTAATCGTGTGCTGAAGAGTCATCTTATTTGAGCCTCTTTGCTGGGCATTCGAAAGTGTGTGAAGAGATCTTCTCATAAATCCCATGTCGAGGAGGTCACAGAGACTCGAAGGGGGGCCAGAAAGACGAGAAATGGAGGCAAAAAGGCGAGAGAAATAAGAATCCAGTGAATTGCTGTGGAATTGTTATCTGTTTGTGATGTATTTTCGGCGGAACTCAAGTTCACACAATCCACAGCGAACAATGACTCTGGTTGAAAAATGCTCGTTGGACCACATTTGCCCTCGCGCTGAGGCGCACGCGATGTACAAAAAGACAAATCGCGCTGGGCTTGGAAGACTTGAGTGATTTCCATGGTGGAATCTCATAATTTCCCGCGAGAATGCCACCTTTTCTCCTCTCTCTCCCTCTCTCTCTTTCTCGCTCTCTTGTCCAGCATCGCGCGAGCTCAGCTCCTGGACGAGAGGAGCTCACAAATAGAAGAGATCGAGGGCCCGGAGGTCATTTACACCTGCATGATGGCTGAGCAAGATCGCACTCGACTTGGCAGAGCATAAATATGTGCCACAGACCATCCAGATGATGCATTTTTGAGCGTTTCCGTCACTTCTTCGCCCTGATTGTGAGCCGAGGGGGTTTCGGAAGATATTCAGCATGCAATATGCTGAACAAATCACTGCAATCTCTACACTTTCTGAGGCTGAGAAACAATTCGCTATATAAATCTATGCTCGCTGGAGAGCTCAAGAGAATATTCATAGGTGAAAATATCAGGTTTATTAGCACTGAATGCACTTCAGCTGGAGCCAATTCGACTCTCAACTCCTCAGCTGCACCTCAAAAGTCCATCAGCGTGTTGAATCGCGATCGTGAGTCACACACGCTCACATAACTTGAAAGCGAATGTGATCAAAAATCTGAGAAATTTGAGCTTTTTGCCCGGCAGAACCTGTTTCTTGCGCCATCACTGGGTTTCTGGGAGTCTCTTTCCGCAACAGGCAATAAATTAGAGTCAAGTTCAGTGAGAACAAGAGGGTGCCGGACCCGCAGTTAATTGATATTTCTCCTCCGAGGCGGATAGGAGTGAAATATCAGGCAGTCGGATCTCCGAGCAGCTTCCGTACATCAAAAGCCGCAGAGCAACGTGAGAAGATTGAGGGGCATTTAATGGTGCCAGATGGTCATGGGGAACGTGAGAAGGAGCCACCAGAGGATATTTATTAATCTCCACGGGAAGGGACAGAGGACCTTCCACTCCTTTGTGTGTGACCTTTTTGCGGGCGGCTTTTGAGGTGATTTTTCAGGCCGTGCTTTTTGCACTGTCGCTCACCTGTGCGGCTGGGCGTGGATGCGGTGAATAATTTGTGTGAATGCTAATTTTTTCAAGGTTTTATATCAGCGCGATTAAAAGAGACGGAAAAGATTGGCGCTCGATTTGATTGCATTTTCATGAGATTCTCACGAGACACGTGATAAATTTCCACTGGAGATTCTCGCAAAGGAGGAAATATTTTAGTGATTTAGATCATTTATCAAAAAAATCATCGTATTTTGAAGTTTCTTTCTTGAGTAATGATACAATATGAAACAAACTGACTCAGTAGTCGTGCCGAAAGCTTTCCATTATAATTGAATTTTTTATCTCTGAATATAGCATTAAAAAGAAAGATACATAAAATAATGAGCGTGTATTTAAAAGATGTATTAAGAAGCATAACGGTACGCAATTATTGTTGCGTCTTCTTTCACAAAATTATGAATAAATTTTGATTACCATTGATAAATTAAAGTATTTTGATGAGCAGGTAAAATTTTCACTTTTATGTTGGACAAAATGAGAAAAAAGAAAACAATTGTTGCAAAGCACATAATTCGATTTTATCAAAATGATTTGCGCTACGTTAAATAAATTTCTATTTTTATTAGAATATTTTTTTACCTTATTATCTCCTTGATTTTCACAATGTGCGTCTAAGGTTCAGTTTTCACGGTCATCCGAGAAGCCATGAGAAATGAATGAGGGGAAATTTGTCAGGCACATTAAATTGCGCCTCTCGGACAGGGGCAATTTGCCGAGACAACCCCTTGACAATCCTGCTCAGGTAGCATTGCGCTAATTACCTCCTTGTTAGGCGACTGAGTAATTATTTCACCTCGAGAGACGCCGAGTGAGATTTATTGGTGGTTGATTTGGCGAAAAACTCCCATACAATTGTCCAATTTGCCACAATGAAGAATGAAGCCATTTGGCTTTTTGCCTCCTGACTCACTGTCTTAATTAACTGGTGATTTAATTGACAGAGTTGCAGTGCAAGAGTTGAAAGATTACACTGACTCATTCGAGTTTTGGCGATGAGATAACACTTAAAAGTGTCTTCTTCCATATGTCTCCACGTGCTTTTCGGTGATTCAGTGCTCATTTAAATTCAATTTTATCACCTGTCGTCTGGAAAATTATAATGAATCTAATCTCAACTCTGTGATCTCTATGATCCACGAGAATTCATAATATTCTTTGTTGTGTCTAACGAGAGCAACAGCAAAGAACGAGTTTTCTTTAGCATTGTTATCGTGACCACACACGCGAATCAATAGATAAAAAAACGAATCCCAAGAAAAAAAAACCATAATTGCAACACTTCCGGAAGTAAACAAAACTGTATATTAATGGCATATCATTAAAGTGTTGTATTCAGGCGGACGCTGTGTGCATTCAAATGACTCTCTTCTGGTGTCGATGTCATTAAGGAACGCTTAAGATGTGTTCTCTTTTTCCCACCATAAATTGGCCTTTTCATCGGATTTTCCATCGAATCTCGACTGGACTGAAAAACACCCCACGAAATGATTTCACAACACGCGTGTGGACTCGCATGGGTGTAGAAATTCCTCATTGTTGCACTAAATCGACGGTCACGGCGCGACTCGCAATTAAAATATGACACAAAATCCCGCCAAGTGCGCGTCCTCTTTGCGACCACATAACGGCAAAGAGATGATTTGTCGATGAAGCTCATCAGCTGCCGTAATGCTCATTGTTTTTTTTTACTACCGCGAGTCTCTAATGTGAAATTAATCTTCATGCGATGCGTCGCCAGAAACTCAATAACTTCGACACACTTCCTCGACACTCAATCCACTAAATATCATCTTCTGCGCTACGATTTCTCTGCCTCTGAAGACGCCTCAGAAGCCGCAAGTCAATTCAAGATGCTACCCAGGAAAAATAATCCACTCGCGATGACTTCCCATTTCGTCGCAAATTAGAAACCACGTGAGAGACAATGGGAGGAGGTTTCCTGATGTGGGATTTTCGGTGGGAAAATGGCGATGAAATGGCGTATGAAATAAATCACTTTCGAGCACTTATCGTCATTTTTCCGGCCCACGAAACGCTGCCCGGGGGCGAACAGCTGAGGGGAATATTCATAAATTGCAAATATGCCATTTCTACCGGAATGATGCGAGTTTTGTGTAGTTTAACAAAAGTTATTGTTGCATAATGAGCAACATTTTCAATAAATCAGAGATGAATGAAGAGAAAACTCAATATGTCAAATCTAAAGTATTTAAATTTCTATATTTGATTCCTTCGTAAACTCAATTCTTATGTCATCAACCTCCAAAGGAAATGCACCCTGAAGAATGCTTGAAGGGAAACGAACATCAGATTTATTTTGTGTGATTTTCAATATTTATCTCTCCAATCTATTTATCGCTTCGACATGGCATTCCTTGGAAGCGTAGACATTTCCTGAAATATCCCAGAAATCGCCTAAGACAAACGGAAATTGAGGGAATTTCTCTCCCGCGGCA